TTAGATAAAAAGATAAAAAATTCTAAAGAAATAATATATTATCTTTATAATAGTTTATATATATATAAATTTTAAAAATATTTTTTATCTCTATATTTAGAAAATTATTCTAATAAGAAAAAATACTTACTTTTTAAAGTAATTTTTATTAAGAAATCTAATATAATAAATTTAAAAAATAATATTATAAATAATATTATAAAAATCTAATATTATATAATCTAAATTTACTATAGATAGAGATTATTATAAGATTTTCTTTTATATTCTATAAAATTTCTTTAATTAGTTATTAAAGTTTAAAGTTAAAAAGCTAAATTTAATAATTTTTCTAATATCTCTATTTATAAATCTTAATTTATATATAAATAAAATTAAAATTAAATATTTAAAAATTAAATAATTAAACTTTATATATTATAATATATAAAAATTATAGATTAGTATTTTTTACTAACTATAATTAGCTTATTCTTAAGGTTTAAAAATAAAGGGTAAATCTGGAAAAGTGGAGAAATTTCCAAATACCGCGTCACTTTTGTCACCTGGTTGTAGTACCAAAAGGTTCCACAGTCGGCATTATGGAAGCTGCGTCCTCCACCATTTGACTTTCGTCATCAAGAGCAGTGAGACCACTAGACGGATGTCTCCGGATCTGACTGATGAGCGATCTGTAACTGCTTTGGCGTGGGTCTTCGAAGCCTGCCTGCCAGTCAGCCACCGCGGAGTGGGAGCTGTCATTATCTGTGCATACTGGCGATTGAGCTTGGGTGGATTCTTTCTCAGATTCATACTGAGAGCCACCTTTGGGTTCTTCCTCGGGCTCTTTCTTGGATTTCCCTTGAGAATCACCTTTAGATCTGTCCTCAACGTCTCCACTATGCCTCTCGAGTTGCTTCGCTTCATCCTCCAACATCTTCTTCCACATTATCAAACCCCACCGGTGCCTTCTGATGAACCGTGCCATAAGCTCCCAGATACTAGGGATGGTCTGCTTCGTGGCTGGTTGCTCCACAGCATCCGGTCCCCGGTAGTCGATGGGAACGTACGATTGTCGTGAAACGCCCAATTCGGCCCCGTCAATCACCATGTATCGCAGGCTGAAGCTGAACTCGTCGCATAGATTATTGATTGACCCAAATCTGCTGTACGTGTTGTCCTTGCCATCTACGGCATCTAGTAGGAGACACGACAGATTTCTATTACATGACTGCAGATCTTGGCCCCGCTCTGCAATGGTGGTGAAGAAGGCGTAGCATTCGTGTTCTTGATTCTCGAGTCGGATGAGGCCGTCGATCGTGAGCTGGCATACTTGTCCATCTTCTTGATTCCAGTCCGGACCAATGAGGCGTATCCGATCCTCGCCATTCTCTTCTTCAATCACACTCAGTACGAAACGAGAACGTTCGATGAAGTAGAAATGTACCCGCCTCAGGTACCCTCTCATATGTAGGTCGCCTTTGGTCACTGCTCCGTACGGGTCGGAGTCGAGGTCGACAACAGCATCAAGGACCTCCGCTACTGGTAGATTGTGCTGAGCCTGGTTGTGCGTAGCCATGTGCACGGGCACCGCGACGTTTAGCCACGACCACGACGGCGCCACGAAAACCAAGTCGTCTGGTCTGCCATGAGGTGTCCACCAATTGAGGCTCGCTGGAAGGGTCGATTTCCATAGTCCGCAGACGTATTCGTCGTGGGGAATCATACGGTGAACCTCCTTGGCTAGGCTGGACAAGATAATGGGTAAGTCTGTTGCAAAAGTAACAGACTTTTTTGATAGACCTTCGCAGGTTGAGTTCCACAGTTGGTATATTCGATCAAGCCCGCCCTTATCCCCACTACCGCCCGCTTCGCTCAACTTGATCTGAAACTTGGTGTCGCCCCCAGGCATTGTCTCACTAGCAAAGCCAGTGTTGCCCAGTCCACAGCACTCCCACACGAGCTCCTGGTCGGTGAAGTGGAGGATTCTTCTCGATAATTGTCTCTCCCGATGGATCCATGCCCTAGATAGCGAGGTTGCAGACTTCATCCAAGCAAATGAGTTGTCTGTGGTCACTTGCCATGGGCCGTGCTCCCCGGACGAGAGCTCCAGTGGTTTTATATCATCCTCATCACGAGGGGAGAAGCAACCGGCACGACTATCATCTCCAATATCGGCCGAGATGTTTAGTTGCGCATTTTGATAGACTTTGTCCATCATTGCTGCCTCTCTTTTCCAGTCGTCTTCAGAATCCTGAACAATGCAGGGTGAGTCTATCCACAGCCAGTCCCAGCCAAACCAAGAAGCAACTTTAAAGGCGTCTTGAAACGTTTGCGGAAGTGTGTCCCAGGCCAACCCATCGGTCTGTCTGGCTGTTACGTTGTCGGTCAACAGCACTGGGTTGTTTTCTGCGCCCCATGAGCCCCAGCAATGACTCAAAGTGACGTACTCGCATGAGTCCAAGGCCTCTGTCGAGGTAAGGCACACCCTTCTGGTCTGTAGGGCCTTTCGCACATCCAGCAGCCGAGTTGGGACGAACTCACCTTGCGCATTGCAGAGATCATGCTGTCCGTTGGCATTCTCCTGGCAGCGTGCTAGCCAGTCCAGGGCAAGACTTCGAGTGGACATGGCATCGTTGGTGTCATCATCAGCGCAAACATCCCAGGGGCCGCGTATCTGAATATCACGTTGCTGATGCTCGAAATAATGACCGAACTGTGTCTTTGGCCAGAGACTTAACCTCAGAACGGGCTGCCAATTCCACAAGGGGTCCTTTTCCTTGGACGGATTCACCATGAAGAACCACATCTTGTGCTCCTCCGTCCGACTCGGCCGACGAGGCCAACAGCACTCAATGTAGTAATTGAAATAGAAGTCCTTTATCAGGTTCGGATATGTCGCGTCAATCTTGTCCCAAATGGCGGCGCAGATAATACAGTACGGCTCGACTATATTTGCAAAGACATGTAGCGGCCAAAGGGATCCGTGGTGGATGACACTGTTTTTCATAGGGAATACCATGTCCGAGTCCCACTGAGTCATTAGCTGCGTCGTGTTGAGGTCAGCGGTACTCATACCTTGTTGCGCTCGTCAATGTAGCGGCAGTAGTAATTGAGTGTATCTTTGCAAACGACACACAAACTGTGGCTAGTCGTCACTCGCAGAGAGTCCAGAGCATATTCGTCCCGCTGGGTAGGATTATTGATCGACAAATTCCAGTGCCATGCCTCCTGGTCTATCTTGACCCCAGTCTCATCAACCGGCCGGATCCGATGTGGCTCCTCCTCCACAAACAACATCCCTCCTTGTTCCCAACCGCGGAACCCATCAACAGAGTTGACATGCAGCATGATATCAAGCTTCTCCCGGTTGTCGTCCTGCGACCATCTAGCCTCTTCGTTCAGCTCCCTGTCCCTCTCTGCTTGCTCGCGGCCATAGTCGCCCCGAGGCCGTCCGGGCAGTGGTATTGGTCTATTCATGACGAGGATGAAGGATCAAGGGGACATTGCGTGGAGAGGGCCAGATATACAGCTGTCAGCCTAGCGTCAGCCCAACCCCGCTTTTACCCCTCTAGTCGCAGACTGGGAAGGAACGAACCGATTGTTATGGTGATACGTAAGGCAGATACGACATTAGATGACAGTTTAATCAAACCTCACCTTCAACTATACAGACGATGTCCTGAAACGTGTGTTCGAATCTCAGACCGTTGGTGTGCAATGGGAATGTGAGGGCCTTCGGGGTGGATTGTCTTCCATTCTGATCAATTGCTTGGGCATTTGATGTGGGATGGTGCCGGCGCTTATCAGGTCGCTTTTTTTTGTAGGGCTAATCCACTACATGAGAGTGAGAAGAAATGTCGCTGGCCCACCCCATGAATCTGATCTATCATTGGCGCACTTGTGTTAGGCATATGTAGGTCGACATTCTCAGCCGTCGGCGCTGATATACAAACCTTGGGAGAAAGGCCTGCTACATAATATATATGTATAGGGTTCAAGACGCTTGTGTAACATGATTTGCAGCTTTACAACTCTGATACGGCCGGGAGAATTATGAGGCGGAGAGGACTGGAGCAAAGGAAACTCCACGGAGTTCCGTCGAAGTAGCTGAGTACTAACCGGATAATTCGACATGAAGCCGCTCTCGACCGCTGTATTCCCTCGATCTGGGCAATACTGTTTATTTTGCTGAGTGGCCATTCAACACCACATACAGCACGACGAACAGCTTGAGTTTCGCAGCCCTTTGTCCACGCTGTCGCCTTCTTCTGTGGTAGGCACATCAGGCTCCTTCATTTGTGGCCAAATCTTGATCTTAGTCTGCTCAATAGAACGGATAAGCTAGTTCTAAAATACCATCTTCCGAGCTCTTGCCACTACGCGACCAGCCGACCAGCGACGCAAGCTGTTAAAAGGAGATGCCAAAGCAATATCCCAAGGAGATATCCTTGATATCCTGAATGCCGCCCAGACAATGGTGAATATCAAAACAAGACTCCTCACGCGGGATGGATTGATACCAACTGCCGATCGATTAGCTCCGCCGACGCCCCCAAAATTGTCGATCTCACTATTCAAAGGCCCGACAAGGCGCTCATCCCGCTACAGGAACTATGCATTCTACTGTTTGAGCAAGTGTCAAAGTTTGACGCCGTCTGCCGCGCTGAAGGTCTCAAGACGAAGACAAAGGTTGCTCGAATAAAGTTACGGAAGATGCAAGAGGTGTCATTTTATGACTTTGCGCATATGTTGGAGAAGCGCCGCGATGGTGAATCTCTCATGTACTATAGCATCTCGCTACTGTTCAACACATTCGTTTATCCTCGGAGTCTAAGGACTGGGAAAACGGTCAATTGGTGTTCCGGGGTTACTTGTGAGCAACAAATTGGCTATTTGGCCATGTAAGGCCGTGACAATTACTGTATTTCATTGATCAGCCAAAGCGCTGTCTCCCGAGATGTATTCCTACTAAAAGTACCTATAATTGACTATTGTAATATTTCTTCTTTGAAGACTCTTTACAGTTTACGATAAGTCGCAACAGCTAATAGTTCCCCGCCACACGGAACTTGTATAGCGAACTGATCACCACAACAGTCGAAATCACCTTGCTTTGCCTCTGGGAGCTCAAAGTCAAACTGCTCGACGATTGTAGATATAAAAATGTACAACTCAGCCCAGGCGAGACTTTAAAAAGGTAGGTTAGAATAGATATCCGTCGTGGGAGTCTCGAGGGTAAGGGGTACTCACTGCCTTCCCATGCAGTCTCGCGTGCCCTTAGAAAATGGCACAAACACCTTGTCACCAATCTTCCACGGGCTCGGATCTATCCATCGGTCCGGGTTGAAGCGCTTCGGCTCAGGATACAGAGACTCGTCCCAGTGTACTAATATCGACGTCATACCAACTGCCGTACCGGCGGGAATCCTTTGGTTTTCATAGAATAAATCTCTTTCGGGGGCAACACGAGCCATGCGTGTCGCAATGGCGGGACTCAGACGGAGACCTTCCATCACAACCGAGGTTAAGTATGGAAGTTGCTCGAGTGTCTTAAGATCTAACTCTGCCGAGTTAGCCGATGCGTCAGCGAGCTCTGCACGGAGACGCTGGAGCATGGAGGAGTCGGTATAGAGGTTAAAGAGGATAACGCGTAGCACGCTGGCAGTTGACTCGAATGCTGCGCCGGCTACCGTGGCGGCATCGTTGAAGATGCGGGGGAATTGCTTTTCAGAAGCTGGCAGTTTTGAATGTATAATCTCGTGGATAATCGTGTTCTTCTCATTCGTCTTGGATGACTTCGCATCGACCATGAAATTTTTCATGTCGTCCATTGTAACCTAAATTCCCACGTCATAGTAAGAGGGTGTTTGTGAGAGGCGAAAATGTGATGACTTGACAGACGGGACTTACAATAAGAAATTTCAAAAAGTCCTTCATCAGAGGGTCGTTTGTCAACTTAATCATAACCTGAGGAGGAATAGACCGAACCACTGGACCAAACCATCTAATGAACTTGGTTGTCCTCCATATAACTCCACCACCAGAGCTGGCGGTCAAAAGAGCGACATCAAAATCCTCGCGACCCAGGCTATCGTAGTTTTTATTGAAAAGAAAATCGTTGCTGGCGTCTCTGCTAAAAGCCGTTGCCGCAGCGCCGAGGTTAAATGTAGCTCCGGATGAGACGAACTCGGCTATACGGCCGCACAGCCGGTCAACATGTCTACGTATCATGGGGGCATGATGCGCTACTTTTCCTTTGGAGAAGTAAGGTGCCAGCGGTTGTCGACGCGACTTGTGGAGGTGGTGATTAACCGTGAATATAGTTGCCCCATCTGATGCAAACGCATCCACAGACCAGGCGTATTTGTTCCAGACTCCATTCTGCTGGTATAAAGTTTCGAAGAATGTGGGATCGCTAACGTGAAGCTCAAAGGGAGAAATACGTATAATTGGTCCTGGAATGCGCCCGTTAGCAATGGCGAGGAGGGTTAAGGCACGTTTAGTTGAGTAATTACCGTATTTATTATGAAGTTCTGCAATCTTGAACGTATATTGACCATTCAAATATAGATCATAGTACGCTTCATAGAGCCCAGTTACCGCCGCCAGCCTTGGTCCCGGGAATTTTGCAAGCGGATGGAAGTAGAGTCGATAGATAGCGACGCTGGCAATGTAGACGAGGATGCTACCTATTACTCGTGGCCATGAGAAGATATTAACTGCCTCCAGGACAATTCTAGTGGTGTTAAACTCCATGCTGAATTACCTGGTAATTTTGAATATGAGCAAAATAGAATTTAGAAGAAAAGTCAGCTTGCTACCTGCAAACGATAGCAAGGGCTTTTAACCTATCAGTGTTATAGTATGAGGAAGCGGCTTTATTATCGTTCCCAGCCAAGATACTGCAGTCTGACATAAGATTTCCCGAATTAGAAACGCCCAGGGATCTAGCGTACTTTTCAGAGCCCATATTAACCGTACTAAACGATTGATAATTGGTTGCTTACTTGATTAAGTCGTTTAAAACCACCAGCGATTGGTTGCTTGAGCAGATGTGAGCTATCATTCTTGACTTACTTTAATAGTTATTGCTACAACAACGGCAACCATTGCTACTACTACTTAAATGCCCCTCCTATATCCTGCAGATTTCGAGTCCGATATAATATGGAAGACCACTGGATATGCTATACTGTTATCTGTGGCCTGCACTCTCTGTATACTGTGTGTCTCCAGGCGATACTCGAGGTCAGCGGCGCTGTACGGGCGATGTCTCTACCGACAGTCAATTTCTTGTACCCTATCATAGAAGTCCCCTGACGTTGACTAAAGCCTGCATAACTTACCATGAGAATTGGCTCCATGTCGCTTGTCAGACCATACAGTTCAGCGAATCGATGTGGCTCTGATCCCAGACTGTTATCCAGTAGAGTAGCAGGCAAACTATGCCGTGCTCCATGCTGATGAATTGAGTTTTGGCTTTCGTTGAGGCCACTCCGGGTGGACAAGAGGCTGCCTGAAGCTCCGGCTGGAGAAATGTAGGTATTGTTATCCGGTACTGAGCCCGGAGCTGTCGCAGTTCAGCCTCGGCAGTGATGAGCGCCAAGTCCTCATGAGAGGCTAGCTCGGCCGCGGCAGGAGGCTTCCGTTGGACAGGGCGCTCAAGGTACATGCATGCTGTCTCACGGAGCTCGCACAGGGTACAAATAGAGCTTTCTGGCTTGGTGAAGCATCGTGACTTCCGCTTGCGACAGGCGTCACACGGGCGGGCGGCGCGTCTGCCACGACTTCCAGACCCGCTCGTTGTTACCTCCCATCTCGCCGTTGAGCTGATCCATTTCCACGCCCTTTCTTATACTCGGGCTTTTCTTTCGATTTCCAGGATGCTGCAACTACCAATTGGCTGGAGTCCCTATTCTGCTCCAGAACTAGACATCACAATTTGGCCGCGGCAACGTGGTGCTCCGCAACGAGACGGACCATACCCCGTTGGGAGATATATACGTAGTCGTAGCCTTGCCGCGGCATCTTTGCCGGGCGACGGTCCACGGCAGAAACAGGACTCGCTTGAATTGCGGAACTAGCCTTTAAGATTCACAACATTGGAAGATTTCAGGTCACTACGAGTCAGTGTCGTAAGCTCCTTAAGTTGCTGGGATCAGGGCCAAAGTTTCAAGTGTGTGATATTGTTGGAATTATCAACAGCCTTCACTGGATCCGAAAGTAAGATCGGTGTTACTCTAAACTAAAATGAAGCTCGAATGTCCTTCAACGCTCGAGGGCCTAGAGAAAACAGCCAACATCCTATGTCAGTGAGTTGATGTCTTACGATCCTCGTGTCAATCTTCAGATCGAAAACGTATCCTCGTTGTTCTAGCAGGCTGCCCTGGCTCGGGCAAATCCTGAGTGTCATCTGCATTACAGAAAACTCTTCGTGGTCGTGGCGAAACCTTGTTCGCGATCGTGCCAATGGTGAGAACTAAAAGACCAAACGTTACAACCAGTACAGACATTGATAGCTGAAAGGACGGTTTTCACTACTCCAAGAACCATCTGAGAGCTACATCTGATCCTGATGAGGCTTTCCGACGACGTGGAGCACTGTTCACATTCGACGCCGATGTCTTTTTGTCTTTAGTAAGGACTCTACGTGATCAGCCTGTCAGCTTACCCGGCGAGCCGGAGACGGTTATCCATGCCCCCGGCTTTGATCACGCCGTACAGGACCCAACAAGTGACGCCATCAGCGTATCATCTCGAGTCAATATCGTTGTCATCGAGGGCAATTACACAACGATTGTCTCGGCAGCAGCGACCAGGTCTTCCTCTTTACCAGACATATATGATCACGACTGATGATAGCTGTGCTGAGCAGGATTATGATGCACCTGGCGGAGTATTAACAGATATTTGTTTGGCTTATTCTACATGTCAAACTCCGCATAATATTCCATAATTCTCTTCACGATAGATGAGCTAGGTTTGATCGAATCCAAAAAGTCAATTGCGTAGTATCTGGGATTTGAGACCATGATCCCAGCCAGCCAAAACCGACTGCCTCAAGCAGCCGAAGTTGATATGAGATTGCTGTGTGACAGTCAAGGTACTTGCTAGTTCATGCGTGCTCCGTGACTGACAAAACGCTGGCACCTTGTCTAGTAAACGTAGAGACTGATTGCGTTGGGGTCATCACGCAGAATCTGCTTGTTCTGCCTTTTCAGAGCGGATTTCATAATCCAGACCGTGATGATGACCACGGCAGAAAAGGCCATGCAGCTGAGGAAACCCTGCATGAAACGGGGGCTGGAGCTGTCAGGCCAGAGATAAGGAGTGTAAACGCCGTTGAGGTTTCCGAAAGAGTTGCAGATAGCCAAGGCAACAGCCTTCTTCTCGTTCGTCTGAGCGAGAGTGGCAGAGATCCAACCCAGCATAATGTTGTTAATGCCGAAACTGAAGGGGACGAACATGAAAATCGCCACAAAGCGCGCGGGAATATTGGTTGTGGAGACAGCTACGATGAACCCTGCTATAACAATACACTTCAGAACAGTGATGTGCCAGGTGCGCTCGTTGTAGCGACCAGAAGTCCACGACATGACAATGCCGAGAATCGCCGCGAGGAAGTAAGGAGGGAAGGTAAGGACCAGGGTGATGTTTGTACTGTAGCCGAGAGTCCGCATTACAGTAGGGAGAAAAGCTGCGAAGCTGACGGATGAAAGATGAAGGTTGTACATGAGCACGAAGACCCAGGTGCGCCAGTCGACCACACACTGGTAAAGGCCCTTCCAGGGGCTAGCCTCTCCCTCTTTCTCGGTGGTGTCGGTAACAATGCGGTTATGAGCAAGTTCTCGCTGCTCTTGGGTGAGCCACTTGGTCTTCAGGGGGTGGTTGGGCAGAAGGAAGAGGGAGGCAACACCGACGGCAGTGGAGAAAGTGCCCTGGATAATGTATAGCCTAGTAGAAGAGCTGTTAGTCTGATAGCTTAAAAAGAGCGGGATCCTTGTTTTATTGGGCCTGTACGTACCAGCGCCAGCCAGCCATGCCATACCGGCCGTCCAGAGTCGAGAAGATTGCGGCAGCAATAAGGCCCGAGAAAGACGCAGCCAGCATGTTACCGGTGTAGAAGATAGCCATGCGCGTAGCGATTTCCTTCCTTGTGTAGAAACACGACAGAAGGTACAGGGCGCCTGGGTAGAAGGGGGCTTCCGCGAAACCGAGAAGAAGTCGGAAAGCCAGCATGTGCTCGAAGTTCTGAGCGAGGAAAGTCAAAGTGCAGATGATAGACCAGACCACGCAGAAACCTCCCATGTAGAGTGAGGGTCTAACACGGTTGATAATCATATTGGAGGGAATCTGGCCGGCGATGTAGCTAGAGCAATGCTATAAGCTTTTACATAGAAACGCCTTAGCAGGAAAGCTTTTTAAAACTCACCCAACGTTCAGAATTCCGACCAGGGTGTTGTACTCTGTCCCCTGGAGACCGAGATCCTTATCGAGACTGTTGAGCTTCGCGTTGAACAGGGCATTTCGATCAAGGAGGTTAAAGCTAGAAATCGAGATCAGCCGAAAGTCTTGGTGGGTACCTAAGTTTTATACTCACAAGTACATGATCCACAGGATGGGCTGCCAAATGAGTTCGAGGTTAGCGGAAGGCAAAGTCGGGCTGATAAAGGCGCAAATACCAGCATATAGAGATCAAGCCTCTTCACAAGACCGATTTCCTTAGGATCAACCTTTGTGTGACCACCGAATTTATCGACCTTGTCTTTGGCAACCATGGGAAGGATACCATTGCCAACGACTTCAGAGTGTTCAATGCGGTTTTCCGCAGAAAATTGGTGGGCTTCAGTCTTTTCGTCCTCTCTGGCGCGAGTGTCCGCGGGAGCAGGTTTGATGTTTGCCATGTTCTCTGCCTTGCTAAGCGTTCAGGACTCAGTCTGCGTAAGAAGAGTGGTGAGAAGAACAAGAGTGAGGGGCTGATCGAGGTGAGAAAGAGGCAGATAAGAGAACGAGGAAAACGGGAACGATTGATGCTGCCTTCTCCTTTCGTTACCTTGTTCTAAATTCTCAGTAAAGTCGTGATAGGAGCTGGCGCCTTACATAGTATTTCGGGTCCCAGCTAACTGACCACGTGATGCTAACTAACAGATACCCCGTGGGGTAAGGGACCAAGATTGCCTGGTTGCATATCGCGATGTAATCCGGGCATTCGATCCTTATTGGAGCGGTAGAGAGAAGGGGCGCAGTAAGGGGATCTAGCAGCCTCGCTCACCACACAAAGTCACACGGCGCTGCACATGAGTCAACCGAATCTCTGGGCACGGTTGCTTTATTGGTCGTCTCCCTCTTAGCTCCTGGGCGAGCCCCGCGGATCAGTGAGTTCGCAAGTCAGGTAAGCTGGGAAATTAGTAAAGAGACCGAATCTTAGGGCACAGCAAGCTCGCTGGTTGGCGCGGCTAATAATCTTTGGCCGGGACATGGAAAACCCGATATTCCTGACGATCTGTGCGCACTCTTCAAGCTCCGCATAACTCTACTTCATCTCCCCGCGTTATCCAATTGGCGCGACTAACAAAGAGAGGTTCATATTGGCAGTAGGCTCAAGTTGAAGTCGCCATTCTCCATCGAAACGACTCCCCGCATCAGCTTTTGCCGCGAGAAAAAGGCGACCAAGGCCTCCTATTTTTTACCCAGTCTGCCGTATCCTTGTGATCATTGATGTCTTGTTGCCAGATGCGCAAGGAGAGAAATATACGAAATCCTCATAAATAGACCCTCTTTTTTTATTCGCTCTAATTTCTGAAACTCTGCGGGGTAACTCTAACTTAATTAGACGTACTTAAAGTTCGCAGATTTCCCCATTTAGAAACGGGGAAATCTGCGAAATCCACTATACCTCTTAAGAACCTATATACCCCAGATTTATAAAAACGCGTTTGCGCATCTGGCCCTTAATTAGGCATACTAAAAGTTCGCAGATTTCCCCGTTTGGAAACGGGGAAATCTGCGAAATACACTGTACCTTTTGAAAACCTATGTACCCCCAGATTCATAAAAACGCGTTTGCACATCTGGCCCTTATTTGATCTCTATCTTTCTCTTTCCCCATAACCCGAGCCACCGAGCAAGTCAGCGTCGCGAGCGAGACAATTGGCAAGATGACGACCTTCACCAAGATCACGGACGAACAGCAGCCTGTCATCAGTGTCAATCCCGCGTTCAAGCTGTCTGACATTGACGACAAAACCTACAGCGGCTTCACAGAGTACGTTCAGATGCGCCGCGTTCCTCTGAGGGTTCGCGAAAGTTGCACACTTCTTTGCTGACCTGCTGATCCGAGGCACATGGGCCGCTGCATTTACGGCGGAATCTACGATGTAGACAACCCGCTCAGCGACGAAGACGGCTTCCGCAAAGATGTGATCGAAGCTCTCAAGGAGCTCAACAGCCCTGTCGTTCGCTACCCGGGCGGAAACTTTTGCGCCACCTACCATTGGCAGGATGGTATCGGTCCCAGGGAGAATCGGCCTAAGAGGTACAATCGCGGCTCCTTGTACTTCACAACGAGGGCATTGACTGACTTTGCGCTCCTAGGCCTGAGCTCGCATGGATCGGTCTCGAGAGCAACCAGTTCGGTACGGACGAATTTATGAAGTGGTGCGAGAAGGTTGGCACCGCGCCGTACATCGCCTTGAACATGAACACAGGTCAGTACATTCGCCCATACTTGTCGCAGCGTCAGCGTCCGCTAACTAGTATCCAGGCACCCTCGATGAAGGTCCGTCTCTGCTTTCCGCTATCGGCATTAGGCAAATATTCTGACTATACTCCCAGCTTTGGCATGGGTCGAGTACTGCAACTCAACACAGGACACATATTACGCCAACCTCCGAAGGAAGAACGGCCACGAAGAACCCTACAATGTGAAGTACTGGGCGTTGGGCAACGAGATGTGGGGGCCATGGCAGGTCGAGCAGATGACCAAGGAAGACTACGCAAAGAAGGCATTTCAGTGGGCAAAGGCTCTGAAGCTACTTGACCCTTCTATTGAGTTGATTCTGTGCGGAAAGGAGGGTCAGGACGCATGGGACTACCACGTCCTGAAAGAGTGCATTAAATTCGATCGCCATGCTCGCGGCAACGACGGCTGTCTCATAGAGATGCACAGCATCCATCTATACACATGCTCAAACAACCATCTCGAGAACGTTACCGGTAAATGGTTCGGCCACTATGCATAGAATCGACCGAGGCTGACACGTGTGTAGCTCCTCGTGCGGCTGAGCGATGTATCGAGATGACAGGCGCTCTCATCGACCTCGTCCACGCTGAAAACAAGATCCCTTCCCATGTGAGGAAGCAGAAGATTTGCTTCGACGAGTGGAATGTATGGGACTCGTCCCGTGCCAATGGACGTGATGGTGCTGAAGAGAAGTATGTCTCGAGGCGCGTGTGCCGGAATTACCAATACTAACTTCCACTCCCTCGCAGATACACTCTCTCAGACGCCCTCGCGGTCGCAACTTGGCTCAATGCCTTCATTCGTCAGAGCAAGTACATTGGTATGGCCAACATTGCACAATCTGTCAATGTTATCTCGCCCCTTATGACAACCAAGTATGGCATCTACAAGCAGACGACGTGGTGGCCGTGGCTGCTGTTCTGCAAGTACATGCGGGGCACTACAATTGCCGTCAATGTGCAAAGTGCTGAGTACGAGGGCTCAACGAAGCCTGACTGGCTCAGGGGAGCTATGGAGACACCGTGGCTGGACGTCAGTGCCTCAATCAAGGACAGTGTTGTCTCTCTAGTAGTGGTTAACATCCATGAGAGCAAGAGCTTCTCGACGAAACTGGATGGTATTCCGAGCGGGGCAAATGTTGAGGTGTACACTGTGGCGGGCGATAACATCGGTGTGATTAACACTGCCGAAAAGAGCGAGGTTGAAGTCAAGGAGAGCAAGTGGGAGGCGAAGGAATTATACGAGTTCCCGAAGGCCTCGATGACTATGCTCAGGTGGAAGGTATAAGCTAAATATTACTACATTATAGCCTTATAGTCATTCTATAATAGTTTCTAGTAGAATCTACTAAAATCTAATAAATAAATTTCTATACTAAAAATGTTGGTGTTGCCACCAACAGCTTCCAGATTCACAGGTAAAAGGGATAAATTGAGACTGTTGCTTCTAACTAGTAACTACAGAGGGGATCCACAGCCCCCTTATATCCCTGAGAATCCCTCGATCGTATTCTTATGCGAGCAGCCCGGTCCCGGGCTCATAAGGTCCTTCGGATATCCCTCTGCCTAGTAATTGCTAGGGATATTCATATCCGGATGACCGAGGTCATCCTCCTCCTTCAAGCCGTGTGTTCAATAGGATCAGAACGCTCTTCGAGAGATCAGGCCTGCGCCGATTCCTCGGTACCAGGTCAGCAGGTTCGCGATCAATCCTACCGGCTAGGGTTGCTCGAGCCGATAGGTCAGGGCTCTGACGATCAGGCCCAGTTGGGTTGTAACCTTCCAACCTAGCTAACTGACCCCTCACGGATAACCTGATCCTTCTAGGTCCGAAGCATCGCGGCCGCGGCAATCGTGTGGTTGACTCTTACTTGACCCTTCGTGGCCAGGCCGGCTTCCACGGAATTCCTGATGTTAGTTACTAGCGAATCGTATGTGCGTTTGAACAGGCTGGGCCGCGGGCTTCAACGTTCGTGGATGATCTCGGTAGTTGATAATATCTTCCTATCGCCCGCTTGGCTCCAACAAAGAAAGAATTTAAAATAACTTAAATCTTTCTTCTTATTTAATTCTACTATACTAACTTATAATTATAGTAGTTCTACTTATTTAATTACTCAGTATACTAGAGTTTAATACTATTTAGTAGGTTTCTTATCTAAAAGAGGTGAATAATTCGGAAGCGGAAACTTATATAGCCTCGGATTTCTTTCTTAGCCACAGAGAGTCAAGGATTGTCCATATAGCTGGTGCCCGAAGAGCATGGATTACTATTCCACACGAGAGCTTGACTAGAAGACAACATGTGTTCAACCATGGCCGCAGAAGCGCGGTCCATGGTTCTGGGAATGTGGCACTCAAGGTGTGCTTTCCCCGCTCGTATGTATTCCAGATCTGCCCTTGCCGAAACTTGTGATGGGTTCTTCATTATGTTCCGATACAAGATGCCAATAGACGCAAGACAATTGGCGTTTTGGAGCCTATCCTCGTCAGGACGACCTTTCCTCAAGCTCAACGTTTGATAACTTACATGAGGATAAACATGTTGGACTTTTTCGCATCGTCCATGTTCCTTGATGGGTGGATAGATGATCAGCATGTCTCTACAATAAAAGAACAAGATCTGTCGGACATACTCGTTCAAGGATCTGATATAAGATCTTGTGGCATCGACACACAAGGCCTCGCTGTCTGGAGCCGAAATGTCATTCTGACCGACATGTTCGTCGGTCAGTCCCGCTATGAGGGAGATCGCTGCCCAATGAAGGGAGCGGACAAGACTGAAATAATCCAAATGCAGGACAAGTATATGCAGGCGTAGATGAATTGGCGCAAGTATCGGCTTCTTAGGACGGCAAGTAGCCGGCAGGGCATCAGACCAAGCCGCAAGGTCTCTATCGATTCTATGAATAGTATCTATCATGTCATCTGTGCTGTCGGCCGAGTTCATTGTGTTGCAGAATCGGTTCTGCATTTGGCTGATTTTATATTTCCATCCGTATATCTGCGTGAGATTGAGGCTTGATTGGTCAATGTCATCGAGTGACGGGTGTAAGACACTTATATTTCGTTCCTCGAAGTTGTGAATAATCCCAGGTGGACGGCCTTGGATCAGGGAGATGTTTCTGTCTCGACGTTAGCCTTAAAACCGTGAGAGAACAAGCATGCACGATTGTCCTACGCATCAAGATCAAGAGTGATCCACCAAAGCCAAGACCGCAGGCGTAGCTGATGATCGGGCAATTCCATTTCCATCGGACTTTTTCGATGTAGTCCCATGGATTGAGCGGTGCGGATTGCCAGCCCGCAGAAGGTCCATGCCACTCCGCAATGTCCGTTGCAAAGTTGATAAAGAGTCTATCAAGTCAGCAGGCATGATTGGGCCCCAAAACTTGCGAAAACTTACGTGTAGCAAAATGACTTGGAGCGATGATTCGGAAGGGTCAACTATGCAGTCGTGAAACAAAGATGAAGCTCTTTGATATACGGCTTTGATTTCGTCGGTGTAGTCAGGGCGTTCCCCAAGGGATGTTGCCCCGATCGAAACAATGAGGAAAAATATACAGTGATCAAGGATCCCCAGACTTGATCGTTCCGCGGTATAAAATCGTTTCATCTGTTCTGGATATAAAGCCTCGTCGACAACTGGGAAAAAGGCGTTGATATTGCGGAGATATGCTATTCCACGGCAAAAGATTTCTCAGCAACAATATTAGCTGGATTTTATAACCGCGTATTACCTTTGCTATACTTTAATGCCAACTGATGAGGAGGCAAGTCTTGCAATAAGAAGTCGGAGAGTGACGACGACCTAATTCCATGGCTGATGTGCGCACTCGCCTCGATCAAAAAACCCAGTGAGCTGCTCTTCAGAGGGAGTTGCTGGCTTTCAAGAGCATCTTTAATGCACAGCCCTAATGTTGCACCGACAGAATTGAAACCTATTTACATGGCATTGCCAAAGGTTAATAAGACTGTTCAAGTTCTGTAAGCTTGACGGATTACCAACCTATATAACTGGTGGCCGCCTCGTTCTTGCTGACAAAAACGCCTGGTAATGTAGATTGCTGCAGGCGAGCTAGGCGCAAGTCTTTTCTCGTCAGCAATTCGATGCTAGACACCTTCCCGTTCGGGGTGCCCCTGTCCCAGATGCGGGGTGGCAAGGAGAGGGAAGAGTCCGAAATACTGTTCTCTGTCGGATGCCTCATGGAAGGCCCATCACTAGTCTGCGGTGCGCTGATAAAGTCACGGTCGAGATTATACTGGCCGTCCAAAGTATTGTTGAGCGTGCTTGCTTCCAGAAAGTTGGACGAATCCCCGACATCATATGGGTCGAGGTGGTGGCTCAAGTCGCTGGGGTTTACTTCACCAAAACCCTCCATCTGATCCCAGAACGGTGGCAGGCCTGGGTCGCCAAAAGTTGGGCTTATTTCCGTAGCCGGTTGGTGTGTCTCGCCGGCTAGAGGGTTTTCGTCTATTTGCCTGGGGTCTGCATCTTTGCTGCTGTCCTGTCCAGGCATTACACTGGTCTGAGCAGTAGCGTCACCACGTCTTGGGTCATGGTAAGTACACTCTGCATGATAGAGCTGGCAATTCAGACAAGGCCGTTGATTTGGTGTACACTTGAGCTATGCCAGCTGGTCAGTCAGGGTACTAGAAATGGATGATTGTGGTGGAAAACAGGGGCGAAACACTCTTTTCTGACGACAGTAATCACAGGCTCGGGTGACACGTCTGGCGCGGGAAGAACGGCCATTCAGAGTAGCCAAGGAACGAGTCATCGCTGCCCTTTCAGGAAGACAGCATTAGTTGCTCTTGTCTTGGGTTGCGTGTCTCAGCCTGACGCGTTAAGAAAGGCGATGACGAAAATGTTTGGTAAATTAAATTGAGTGGAGAGCTACCGAAGGTTCCGATAATCTACCCAATGATAGCGTCGAGTCTATTTCGGTCCTCGCCTGTCTGTAAGATTCCGTGCGCCTAAAAATAGATATAGTGCTACCCTATATCCTACAAAACAACTCAACGAGCCGGCCAAATTTCTCTCTCAACCATAAGACAGACAGGAAGCTAGTATACAACTCAGCTCTAAATGACTGGCAATCGAACAATTATAGAGTATAGAATTGCAGGGAACTTGCAAACTCTCCGCCGGTATATACAACATGTTGACCTCTGTTATTGATAGCCTCAAGCTCTAGACCTGGATTCGATGGAAGCCCAATGTACTTCCCGCTGACTTTGAGGATTAACCGTTCTCCTTCTCCAAAGACAATTCCGGTGGGCCACATCTGGATGTCCAACTTGACAATATCTCCCGGCTTGACAGGCTCTACTCGGGAGAAAGATAGCGTGTGCCATGTCTTACCCGACTGTTGAGGGGAGACGTGCCGGCGAGATGCTCTGAGGCAGCCTGTCGGCCCACGATACCGGAACAGCTTGTTTTCAGTCAGTGTACTGGCTGCCTCTTCGGGGGAGATCGGGATATTCATATGTGTCAGGGTGTTCCCTTTCGCATCAGCCTTGAAGATATGGGCGTAAATATCCATATCATCATGGGCAGGCGAAGCAATATGGATACTCAATGTGGACGGGCCTATAATGACAGTTCTCGATGAGAACCTGTAGCTGAATGTTAGGGCCTCGGACGATTCCGCTCGGTAACTCTGCGTGCTGCTCTCGGCAGGATTGGATACAGAGAGACCGCCTTGCGAATCTAGAAAAAGTTGCTGCTTAGAGGCAGACGGAAGATGCCAGGGGAGGTCCTCAAACTCCTGGTCAAGTAGAGCTGGCTGGGGGTAGCGTAAGAGTGCGACGCGGGCAGGTTTTGTTTCCAACCAGTGGTTCGCAATCCCTTTCAAGTAGTAGTCGAAGAACCGCGACAAGTCTCTCGTGCGATCAACCGAATAAAGGTCGTACCATTCCTGGGAAGCATGCAGGACGATCCTTCGCACCGGGTATTAGTATCGCAGCCCAAAGCGCTATTTGAACCACATGACATACCATTTCTTGTCATGTGGAATCTCCTCAAACGCCCGCAAGGATCCAATGGTGTGGATGTCCGTTGAATAGCTAGCGCCAATGTACGCAGGTACATCTATCTTGCTAAAGTCGACCCGCTTGTCCTCGAAGTAGTCTTTGAAGTTGTTGAAGTCCTGGACCATTGCAATTAGATCCTCTTGTTTTGACGTCCCTATAAAGTTAATACACCGTTCAAACGTAGCTCTTACTGAGCACGTACCTGTGAGCGTGTTGGCGATGGTCTTGGAGAAGGACGTGTGAGGGATACCCCCTCGCAGTGTCATTTCTCTCACAGGGTCGCTGAATCCTTCCAGCGGTGCAATGCATGCGAGATGAGCCGGCTTTTCCACCGCAACGTAATATTGTGCCGCGGCAAGCCACGAGTTGCCAGCCATCCCGACTTTCCCATTGCACCAATCCAGCTTTGCTATTTCTTCAATGGCATCGTGTCCGTCTCGGCCCTCTGCGGATCCAAACCACCTCATGTTGCCTTCGGAGTGGTTCGAACCTCGAGCATCGATGTTGACAATGGCGTAGCCCCTTGGTACCCATTCTGCTGGATCAAGACTGTGTCCGACAGGTTAGTGTGTCTGAGGAGCTCGGTTATGGTCAGGACTTGTACCCTTCAAAGCTTTCGTAACCTGAAAGCTGGCTGTCCGGTATACCAGCTTGAAAAGGCAATATTGTGCTTAGCACGATCAGCCCCGTACTACTCTTACCATAAGGCGACCACATGACAATGGCAGGGACTTGGGTGTTCTGGTCAGTCTCGGGGCGGTAGATGTCAGCGAAGATCTTGGTCCCATCCCGGAGAGTGAGGGCTTGATCTCTTTCAAGCACAATATTGCTTGGAAGAGGGCGACACCCCGGGCGTTTTTGGTGTCCCTTTGGGAGAATTAATGCCTCCGTCGCTAAGGGATGCTGCGGCGCAACGACATCTCGCAGTAAGACTCTGGCGGAGTCAACGTTGAAGGCAGACATGAGGCGATTTCTGAAAGATGTTTGAGATGACTATGTGATAAGACCGTATTGTCTCAGTGACCCTCTTATGTATATTAAATAGGTTCAAGTAGACTTTTTATACAACTGTTGGTAGTTTTCGCCATGTACGAGAGTCTCGCACGAGGCCGAGAATGCCGAACAGGGGATGGGCTGCTTAATAAGGTCTTGTGACGCTTCTCAGACTTCCCCGGAACAGAGATCAGCGGTGTTCCGGGGAAGGGGCTTACACTCCACATTCCCCGGAACATGCTCAGCTGATACAGTACCCAAATAGAGTGATCTTTGAAGAATACAGTCATCTCAAAGGTTCTGGCCATGTAATCGGTGTATAGGATCAGCTATAAATTGAATGTCGCCATGTGTTTACCGCCGTCGTCCTCATCCATCTTATACTGCCCAATACCTTAAGGGGGAAATCAATTGATCATTTCTTCCCTGCCATCTTCGCTCTTTGCAGAACTATGTCTTTCACACCACCGAAGACCAACAGGAGACTCTATGTCGACGCCGACTGCAATTTCTCCGTCCGAGACACCAGCTCGCCCCTGCTTGTAGGCGACAACGAGCTAGTGATTGAGAACATCTACTCGGGAGTCAATCCCGCAGACACCAAGCATGCCACCATTTTGGGTATCCGGGCAACAACTCTAGGATATGACTTTTGTGGACGCGTTCTCTCATCGCCGCCAGGCTCCAGCTTCAAGCAGGGAGACGTGGTAGCTGGACTCACGCCTTCAGGCCTGGGACGCGCTGAAAAATACGGGACGCACCAGGACTACCTCATCTGCCCTGAAGATATGGCCTTTAAAGTCCCAGGCAACCTCCCCGAAGCCCATGCCGCCTCTCTGCCTGTGGTCGCCCTGGTCGCTGCCGATGCCATGTTCAACTTTTTCAAGTTCCCCTTGCCTGGTAGTAACGACTCCTTTGTTCATCAACAACCCATCTTGATCTGGGGGGGTTCTTCGAGCGCCGGGCTCTGCGCCGTCCAGTTTGCTCGTGCTAGCGGTTGCCGGAATATCATTGTCACTGCTTCGCCTGCTCGCCATGATATGCTCAAGAGTCTCGGAGCGACGCACGTATTCGACTATAAATCTCCCACAGTTGTTGACGACATTCTACTCACGGTTAAGGCTCTCGACCAGGGACCGATTGGCCATGCATTTGACGCAGTGTGCGCGGTAGAGCCAACTCCATCGGCAGCCTTGGTTTCACAATGCGTCAAGGATCCGGCGGCCATCCTGGTCGGCATTACCATTCTAAAAGATGAAAGATTTAAGTTACCCTTCTCATTAGCCAAGGATGACTGGACCATTCGTGTGAATGGCCATGCTAACCCCATCACTATTCCCGCCAGACCCGATGACTACTGGAAGTCTTGGAGTGCTCTACAGTGGGCGGTTGCCAATTATGGTCAAGGTTTCGAGCTGCCGCATGTTGAGGTCCTCGAAGGGTCGGCCGAGCACGTGTTGCGGGAAGTGATTCAAGTTGGGAATCTTAGCAGAGGCTTTGGAAAGATAGTGGCTAGACATCCATTGAGTTGAAATGTAAAGAAAGGCTCTTCAAGTCCTGTATCCTCGCCCTTCAAGGCCATAATTTGACTTGGATGCTCCTATTCAAGTTTACTTCGGAGGATGTACCAACCTTGTTCAAATTCTCCTCTGGGCTCCCTGTAAGGTCTACTCCAGTCAGACCACTCAGATCCAGCACCCCAGGATTCCGCTACTTGATATTCCACTGCGATAGGGGGTCGACTCTGCGTGCTCTTGCGTCGGGAAGATGGCGTGAGCCAGTGTAGACAATTTAGTACCGTCTTCTGCAACCTCATAAGACAGTTTGACCCGTCGTGGCAGGCTGGTGAGTGAAAGATCTTGTTCCCCCTGATATCCGCGTGGACTCCCGACATCGAGATGTCAATGTCAACTTTGTCAACGCCGTTACTCAGCGCGTCTGGGCGAGGCACAACACCTTGCAGAATTGTCTCGCGGCCTTCTAGGCGAAAGTGCGACCCGTCGTTAAACACGGTAGCAAAGCTGTCCTCGGGTTTTGGGTCGAGGGTTGGCGCAATTGTGAAGCTGGCGCTGTGACCGTGGCCTTATAGACTCTGGATCATCAAGTGTCCATAATTGGCCGGTAGCTACAGAGATGGTCATGATTAGTACACGGTTGATTGCTGTGATGCAAGTCCAGATTATTACCTACTCTAATTATTCATTGCTGTGGAGTCTTGATGGTTTGCCAATTAGACCGCTATATTCTCCACACGCTACCCCACAGGCAAAATCATTAGGTACTGGCGACCTCCCACATTTTTCTTCCCGTTCTGTTTCGCTTCATCGGCTCATCCGCCCCTGACAAGAAGATGCACAACTTAATATTAACGTAGTCCTTTCTCCTCGGTATGGACCTGCCATAAAGGCCTATCCAATAACAAATATAAATTCTATATCTTTAGGTCTAATGAGCCCTGTTACATGGGGTTAGGACGCGTTATGAGCCATGGACAGGAGCTCTCTGGTGGGCCCGTCGAGGGTCTGGACCTGTCGGGCTATAAAAGGTGCTTTACTTCCACCAACTCTCTTCACTTCGACTCACTCTGATTGAGGACAGCTTTAAACCACCATGGCCCCTCGTTTTCGTATGGACCAGATAGGGTCCTTGATTCGCCCACATTCTCTACTCGACGTTCGGAAAGATCTCGATATCTATTCTGGCGAGTTATCTGAGGTACAATTAGCAGCGACCAATGAAGCGATTGCGCACGCTGTGCATAAGCAGCTCGATCTGTCTATTCGGCCCATTACCAGTGGCGAGTACGAGCGGACAGGCTTTTTCAGTGGCTTCTTCGAGAGCCTTGACGGCATGGAGGTCAACCGTCACTTCCGGATACCTCAAGACTTTAGGACAGAGCTCCCGACGACACAACACATGGCCAAGTTGGGGGTTAACACGTTTCCTGCCGTTGTGGCCAAAGGCAAGATTAAGCACGTTACCCCCGCATACGTTTCTGGCTGGAACCTGCTGAGGGCCACCTTGCCACCACAGCTCTGGAAGGATTGCAAGATCACAATGCCCTCCATTACTTGGCAGCACATGCAGCTTGCACCAGGCGTGGCTTATGATCTCAGTGTCTATAAGACAGACGCTGAATATCTTTCTGACCTGGCGGCAGCTTTCCGCCGAGAAACCCAGATGCTCTACGATGGAGGTCTGCGGTCGATTCAAGTCGACGACCCCCATCTAACGTACTTTGTCTCGGAAAACTTCAAGAACGGCCTTCAACAGGACGGCGAGGACCCAGACAAGCTTTTGGATCTATATATATGGGCACATAACGAGACTATCAAAGACCGTCCCGAGGACCTACACATGGGCATTCACCTCTGCAGAGGGAACATACCTGGCACGGGTGGATTCTTGGAAGGATCGTACGACAGCATTGCAGAGAAGGTCCTGACGCAGCTCAACTACGACACATTCTACCTTGAGTTCGACGATGCGCGCTCCGGTAGCTTTGATTGCCTAAAGCACCTGCCTATAGGCAAGAATATGGTTCTTGGTATTGTGTCGACGAAGCACCCGGAGCTTGAAGACTTGAAAGTATTGGAAGGCCGGGTGCACGAGGCGGCTCGAGCGATTGCCGCCGGCCAGGGTCGAAGTCCCAAGGAAGTCCTAGCAGATTCATTAGCTGTGAGTCCCCAATGTGGCTTTGCTAGTTTTGAGAAGAACCTTGGTGTGGCGAGTGAAGAGCGGATGTGGGAGAAGTTGAGCTTGGTTCGAAATGTTGCCAACTTGGTCTGGAAGAACGCTCTGTAGAATGATCGATCGTAGCTAGACCATTAGATTAAGTATTTGACATAAAGTATGGAGAACCAAGGATGGAGTCTCATTGAGAGCAGAATGCTAGTTCGCTTCCGCTTAAGGAGATTTGATAGCCTGTGTCAGGTTCAATTTCGTTCCCTGCACGGAGGCAGTTTAGGTGGAGCCGGGACGATTATGCATACCGGTCTAGCGATTGCTGGTAGGTTTTCTCGAGTCTGACATCCTGTTTCGGTATCTCGCGTTGACAACGGGTCCGGGTAGGGCAGAGGACCATGTGGCGGCAAAAATAGACGCCCTGCGGGTGGGCGAACAACCCGACCCCCTGGCTCATTGAGGCCCGCGGAAGCTATCATCATTGGTGGGCTCGGACAGCGCATGAAATTAAGAGGATCAAACACGTCTTTGCCAAGAGCGAGCGTACATATTGAGCTGCGAGCATTGCGGTGTCAAGGAAATCAAATATTGTGTCATCAGTAGTATTAAAGGCTCGGATTTTTATATGGACCAGCGAACCCGGATCACTCTTTATTCTTTGGCGTCCAGCCAAGACACTTCTGGTTCTAAACCCATGGATTCGAGTCACTTGTGCAACCCTCCCAGGGTCTTGCACCTAGTCAAGAAACGCTCAGGTCGCCAAAACTCCCCAACGACGATCTCGACGACAACGCCTTCTATAATGACCCCAATTCAATGCTCCTGAACCACGTAGGAGGAGCCGCGAGCGATGATTCAGCAAATGGGAACTTCCATCACGACAATGTGGCAACATGGGAGCCATTTTGGCTGCGGCGGACTGTGCTGAGCATCTTCTTGGCTTGGTTCTTCTGCTGCGCCGCCATACTCTTGGTTTTACTGCTTCTTTCCAAGCGCGATGGTGGGATCGGTCAGGGCCATCATGACCTGGTTTACGTGTATAGGTTTGTTCCAGCAGCCGGTATATCATTCAAATCCCCCTGATTGTCTTTGAATCAACTTAATAATATCTTTCTGCATAGTCCTCACCCTCGTGGCGGTCTTTTTGTCCCGCGTTGAGTTGCAGGTGTTTAGATATCTGCCCTGGGCATTTCTGCAAACCCATGATGGCCTGAACTCGGAAGTATACACCCTCGACTATACCTCAATGATCCTTCCCAAGGTTCTATTCTGGTCTGTCCAACGAAGGCACTTCTTCGTCACGCTTGCTGCCGTCTCGACTATAATAGCCAGGGTTCAAATCATCCTCTCTCCCGCGCTTTTCCAGCTGGAGCCTAGACTGGCCTGGGATCCTGTTGACGTCCGACTCATGGATTCTTTTGCCGTGTCAGAGAACGTCACGAATACCACCGCCGAGGCTTCCTTCTATCACAGAAAGGCTATGCTCGACTTTGATATGGAATACCCTTTTGGCGTAGCAAGCCAGGGTGCATACCAGACATACGAGGCCTCAACTCAGAGCGATAACACTCGAGGCACTCGCGACTACCCTTTGCGTCTCACCGTTGACGGATTGTTCATGGATACCCAGTGCGCCGAGATGAGAAGCTACGACCTCACCTCGGAGAAGGCGGCGGATGTGTCGTATAGGAAGTACACGCAAAATGGCAAGGTGATTTCCGGTATAGACATCACCCTCGACTTCCAATTTGAATCTTGCGATAAGCCTGTCAGGACAAATACCGTGATCGCAGATTACACCAAGATAGGCGAAGCTTGGTGGGCAATGCTTGACGTAGAACAGCCGCCTTCCTGCTCTTCACTACCACAGCGCCATCCGCCATTTGTATACTATGGATGTTGGTTCGACACGGCGGGCAAGAATGGAACGGTGCCGCCCAAGAGTAGCCAGTGTGCTGCCGTCATGTGCTCCTCAACCGCATGGACATCCAAAGTCGCTGTTGATGATTACGGTTCTACTCCGGAACTGACCATTCCCCCTCAACAAGAAGATACCCAGATCATTTCGAACCCTTGGGCAATGCTGGCTAAATCAATACCCAGCCTCGAAGGGGGGTGGACGAAATATCACACGGCGGGGAATATCATCATTGGGCCGCTCGACACGTTGTACGAAATCCGTGGCAAGGTTGCGAACAGGACACTCATGTCGAACTACCAGAACGACGTTCTCAAACAAGCCGTGGCAAACGTGACAGAGATGTTCTGGCCCCTTGTCGCTCACTATCATTTTCGACAGGACCGTGCGTCTGAGATACAAGGCTCTTCTTTACTGGAGACAGAAGCACTCCGGGTAAATCAGGGTGTGTGCATAGCTATGCTCATCCTCTTTTGCGTCTCCATGCTTATCATTGTCTGCATCATACGTCAGTCTACAGAAGTGTCCCAGGTGTGGCACAGGAACCCCGCGACAATTCTGGGGTCCATGGCGTTCTTGCAGCGCAAAACGGACATTGTTCAACCTGCTACTGTGAGCCGCGCACAAGAACAGGAAGACGGCAAGATATGGGGGCATACCAACTTCTCCATGCTGGTCCTCAGATCGCGATATCGCGCCATCTTCACCGTTTACGTCCTTGCGCTCATCGTTGCCCTATCTACCACCCTCGCCGTGTCACAAAGATCCGATGGGCTAGGGACTATCGGAAATGATGTGTACATTCCATTTCTTTGGAGGGTAATCCCAGCACTAGCCATGTTTGGGGTAGCTTTATATACCACCACAGTCGACTTCGTGATTCGAGACCTAGCCATTTTGTCCAAGCTGGCAACGAGTTATTGCACAGCAGCCGAGCTAGACACATCACTCCTTGACATGCTTGGATTCAGAGCTTTGTACCATTCATTTCGGCTGAGGGTCTATACCGTCTCCGTCTCTCAAACCCTTGCCGCCATTTGCGCCTTCTTGGTAGCCTTCACCTCCCTTTTGTTCAATCCTGAGACTGTTGCGGGTCACAACAGCTGGGAATTCCCACAAGCAAGTTGGTTCGGGTCTTTCGACGCCGACAACCAAACATCATTGGCCCAAGGTAATACCTTTGCCATTGTCAAGAGCCTTGTCCTCACACAAAGTCTATCAAACTTCACATATCCAAAGTCCACCTATGGCGACCTACTCTTCCCAACTGTTGATTTCAACAGCTCAGATTGGGGCAACCAAGCGGATCACTCCATTAGACTTGACATACCAGCCGCAAAGCTGGCCCCCACCTGTTCCAAAGTTCCCCAGAGCAACCTGAACATAACTGTCAAGGACTGGAGTAAAGAGAATGTAAAGTGGGCTGGTGAGCCCCCTTCTTTCTACGTAACGATTATCCAAGACAACAAATGTGCTGCTCCACCCGTCGAGTATACTGTCAACAACGAGACTCGATACAGCGAGACCAGGGTCAGCGAGATGATCCAGCTGGAACAAGCTGTTGTCAAAAATGGTTACGTGTACATGGCCAGCGTGTTGCCCACCCCAGAGACTGCGGACGCGACACTTTGTGGCCCCAAGGTCGGGCCAAGCTGGGCTCTGCGCACCTATTTCTGGGGCAACTTTTCAGCCGAGACCGTATCCTTTACGTATCTCTCCGCCTGGAAGTGCAACTACACTTGGGCTGAAGTTCCTACCAGTGTTCAGATGATTCAGGTCAATGGGGAGCTACAAATCGACCACGGCAATCCCCCTGTCCCTGATAATGACAACGCCCGGCCATGGGACCCGCCCTTTACCATCCCCAAGTTTGGCTATTCGGGATTTTCTCATGGAGATGAGGCTTTCCCTGACATCGAAAGCCAGAATACTCTTGTAGATGGCTTTTCTCCTCATTTCGCAACCATCCTAGAGCCCTTTGGCAAAATCAAGGCCGAGGAGTTCGGCATGCCAGGGGCAGAGGACAGAATCCTCGACGCACTGCATTATAATCTCGGATTTGTAGGTACCCAGTTAGCAAACAAACAGAACCGTTTCGCAATCAACGAAACCTCGGCAGCAGAGTCGCCTGCCACCCCATCCCTGCTTCCCGTCAAGGCAGACCTTATAGACGAAAAGCGACGTCGATTAGTTCAAAGCCCATCAATCACCTATATCATTATGTCCATCTTGGCACTGGTAGCCGTTGTCAATATCTGGGCACTGGCGTCGGCATTTATCAAGAATCAAGTCGGCGAGGATCGGGGTTGGCTACTTGACATGGAGCTCAAAGGGCTGGTCCCTGACGGGTTCGGGAGCATCGCGACGATGTCTGCCCTGCTTCACTCATCGAATTCCCTCCAGCGCCTACCAGAGGCTGCTCACATGATGTCGCCGAGCCAGCTTTACCAATACTTGGCCGGGACAAGATATCAGAAGGGGTGGTTTTTGGAAAAGGAGAACGATGAGAAGCACTATACGGTTGGGGTGACGGATGACGACAAGTTCCAATATCTGGGGAAGAGGAAGAGCATGCATTAACTTGTCTCAAGTGGATTGATATCGCTTATCTGGCTTATCCTTATAATAATACTCATTCTGTGGCTGATCCATTTGCAAAATGAGATCTTCGTGGCTTAATGGCTGGCTCAACAATGTGTTCAAATGTATCCCTTGGCAAAACTACCACGATAGCGTGAGAGATCGTTTCCGATGTGATCGGGACTCCATTTAGTTGCGGTGGTTACAACACCCGTGTGATGAAAATATTATTAGTTTAGGGCGTCTCCCAAGAAACAACTATTGCGGCAGAGATAAACCGTTGTGGAAGAAGTGGTAAAATTGGAAGTTGAGCTTGGTTCGAAATGTTGCCAACTTGGTCTGGAAGAACGCTCTGTAGAATGATCGATCGTAGCTAGACCATTAGATTAAGTATTAGAAGAGGCAGTCTCGACCTAGCTGTCTGTAGTCGACACTAATGAGGTGAAGCTGAATTGACAGTCTGCTATTATAGCAAGCGAGAGCTGCGGTCTGACCTAGCTGTCTAGTCGAGAGACAGCTGGGTTAATTCATCAGCTACCTTGGGTGCTAAATCTTTTAATCTTTCAGGCTAATATACTATAAAGTAAATCATTCGTGGAAGATAATTTATCATAAAGTCTAGTGAGTAAATTCACCTTGCAAGCAGTGGTCTTCTAGAAATCCATTGCTGAGGGGCTTTCTTGTTAACATCAGGTGATGGCCTCTAGATACTACTGGATACAGCGTCTGAGAAAGCATAGTACTCGCTGAAAATAAGAGAGACGATACTTAGCTTGCCGACTTTTGCTAGACTTTAGGAGAACACAGGTCTATTTTCCCATTCAGCAAGTCTATTATTACTAAATTAACTCTGTTTTGTTTGGATGGATGGCATTCCGATTACACTTGGATTATTCTTGAGAGGCGGAGAAATCGCTTTGTTCATCCCTGTCAGGTATCAGCACGCCTCATGCACTAGTTTTTGAACCCCTGAAAATCCCCCTTCTTCACTCTATCACAAGAAATAACTTGTGTCTCATTTGGATACCTCCTGTTCCTAGGTTATGCTATGTAAATACTGCCGACTTGCAAGTAGACGTATTATTCTACCATTAGATCGAACCTTCGCAGACGATGTTCAAATTGAGTGGACACGCTCGAGGAACGGCGGTCGCCTTTCCTAAGAACTTGAAATCCTTAGAGCTATAGCCCTGGAACCTAAACCTAGACTGCTTTCCGTTGAACTGATTCGCTCTGACTAGGCATCTAGATGACCCTTGGCCATTATTCGTCATCTTATGTTCCCAACAAGTGCCGAGATTACGCGTCTAGTGCGGGCGATGGTGGCTGTGTCTGATCTAGAAGAGGCAGTTTGAATAAAGTAGACGTACAGGGGTGCGAGAAAAGCTTATATTTGAGCTTCGTCAGCGATCAAATCAGGCATGTCCGTTCTCCGTCTCCGTTCTCCGTTCATTATATCCATTGACTAAAAGATCTGCATTTCGGGAAATACGTCAGGTGTTATCCAAAGGCTCTAGTGGGTGGAGATGAGTCTACTTTCTATGATATCCTGACTTGATTCCTATGAGCATGGGAAAACATAAATAGTGTACGAGGTCGACGAAATTGAAACTCCAGTTCTTGCAACTTAAATAACGGCTTAGCAAAGACTGTTTCTTCTCAATTATCTACTTCATTATGATGTCGCCTTCCATTTTTGGGCTTGCGGCCTTCTCGCTCCATTTGATCTCCGCCGCCGCTCAAAGTAGGCCATGTTTCTGTCCCAAGTAAGAGACCACTACTGACATTTCTTGTAGACGGCTCCAATGTTGAATTGATTGACCCAACCACGCGATTTTCGGACCTGAATCTTAGCCTTCCCTTAAATGAGAGTTTCCCGGTTCTTCAGAGCACGTTTGAAACTCAGCCGGATTGTGGCGAGCAGGCCTACCGTGGCTACGGAAGGCTACAGGGCCTCAGGGCTCTCATCACTGGGGGTGACTCTGGTATTGGTCGTGCGGTAGTTATTGCGTATTTAAGAGAGGGCGCAACTGTCACCATCAACTATCTTCCCGAAGAAGAGTCTGATGCTCAAGCTCTGGCAGACTTTGTTGCCGAGGAAGGCTACAGCATTGAGCGGATCCCGGGCGATCTCCGTAACGAAACCTTCTGCGCTGATCTTGTTACAGAGGCACACAGCCGAATGGGGGGCATCGATATCTTCGTTGGCAACGCGGGGTAGGTGCTGACTGTGCTAAGTCTCTCTCCTTTGTCCGATGCTAACAAGTCTACAGATATAGTGGTGTGACAGCTGGTCCCAACGCCCCCAACATTACGAATCACCCGACCGAGCAGATTCAACGTACTTTCGAGACCAACTTTTACGCAAACCTGTGGCTCGCCCGAGCTGTTGTTCCCCTGCTCCCCCGTGGCGGTAGCATCATCTATACCGCCTCCGGAACGGTGTCAAATCCTGGTCCTGGAAACCTCGACTATGGCTCAAGCAAGGCAGCACTAGTCTATTTTATGCGTTGTCTCGCGATGCAGGTAGCCTCGTCCGGTATCCGTGTGAACGCGGTGGCACCAGCTTTGGCATATACTCCTTTTCTCGCGGCGTCAGGTTTCACGACCGAGAATCTAAGTGGTGGATCGTCTCCCATTGGACGCATCGAGCAGCCGGTAGAGCTTAGCCCGCTGTATGTCGACCTGGCAGCTCCAGATAAGACCTATATCTCGGGCGAGGTCTACACGGCCAAGGGTGGTTCGCTCGGCCTATAAAGAGCATGGCCAGACGAATCGAGCTCTCTGCGGCAGAAGGTGGAGAGGGAGCATTTGTCTTATCAGCGTTAATTGGGACTGATGGTGTGTGTAAATTGGTATGACTTTAAATTCCAAGACACATAGAACGTGGCTCTTTCACGCGGGAGCTGCATGCAGTCGCAGTTCTACTGTGTCTAGTCAGTTACAGCACATCTATTCTACTACCTATCCGTTTCAGATTAGTTTTCCTTCCGTATGACCACAGCCTTGAGCTAGCGAAGCTAATTTTTGCCCTTCATATTCATTGTGTTGAGAAGTCGAGTCTGTCATCTTCTATTATCGTTTCTTACTTTACACTTAAACTCTTAGCAGAATCAATTTCAGATCTGTTCGGGGGTATTCCTCTCCACAAGTCTCTGCCCATGAACACACTCAAGATCACACAAGTTTTGTAGAATCAACTGGCTGCGAGGCACCGATTTATCTGTCCCTGACTCGGCTCTCGAAAGCAGTCTATACCCTTGCTAAATAACCTGTCGTTTAACATATGATACGGTCCTGCTTCATACTGACAATTGCATTTCCACCTTGTCTAAAAATAATATATAATCTTTGAAGATATACAACTTTTGTTGATATCTTATGTAGGTTACAACAAGACGGTCAAAGTTACTTCACATCTGCGTGAAACTCTAGCAAAATCATACAATTCACCTTCTCCTTACCAATGGTGCTATCTTCTGTCGCCCGGTTGGTTAGCAAACCAAACCCATGATCACTCAGACTTCTTAGCCACCGATAAAGGGAAAAGTATCCCACTGCGTGATATCGAGGCTATCCCAATCAAGAAAGACCTCTCCTGAATCCAGTGGAGCATTGCTACCGGGTATCTCAGCCGTAAATAGGGACTCCGTCTGATCCTGCTGACTTGCACTCATGAAGCGCGGGCTACTGCTAGCTTCTTGTCGAGGTCTCTCCTCCTGGGTTTGCGACCGATCGAAAGCGAAAATCCTTGATACGTACGAGTTGCCACCGTGAGACCGCTTTCGGGTACGGCGCTCCGAGATCACGTTCCAGAGGGATATGAGCATCTCATGATACAATGCAGCAAGTGAGCTTTTTGCACCCAAGAAACCAAGTAGATCCCGGGCGCCATGGAAGGCTGCTTCAATTCCATACGGTCCCGATTCCTTTGCGAAGAGCTCGAGCCCTAGCACTAGCCCGGCCGGAAATATCATTGTCCTTCAAAAAGAAATTAGTCAGGGATAGAGGCATATCACAACATCCACCAGGCACTCTCACATAAGTGTAGACATGTTAGCCTTCAATAAGTTCAGTTTGTGTGCATCACTGCAAGTTTGCACAACCAGCGTCGCGGCCTCGAGACAGGCTGATGCTAACTGAGAAGACACAGCGTCGGCTGGTTGCTGCCTTGTGAGAGTGGAAATGAGAAGAGGACGCGTGACCAAATTGACAGCAAAGTAGTAAAGGCAAGAGACGTGGACTCGGCCAATTGCGCCCTTACGTTCCGGTAAATCACCTTGGCCAACGGAAGATGAGGAAGGGGGAGGTGTGTGTAGGAATTCAGGCACTTCCTGACCCCACTCCTTCAACTTCTGCAAGAACTCCTCGACAAGGGAAATGGATATCTCCTTGCGATCATACACCCTGTCGACGATGCTGCTTATCAATGAAACAATCTTATAGGATGCCGCGAGGCAAGTTATCCCACTATCGTGGTCAAGCCTTTCAATCCCATCAATAAGACCTTTAAGGTCAGAGTGAACGCCGCCAGTGGCCGGCGGACGGCCCAGAACCGAGCTAATGGGAATGTCCATCACTCGCAGGCTCATCCACACACGTAGCCTGTTTAAATACACGTCCCCATTAGCACTTGGAAGAGGGGGTGAGACTAGATTTCTATCCAACTCACCTCAATTGTTGCTTTGGGTCGCTGATGTCAGTGTAGGTTTCCTGGCTGTGCAAACCGAGGACGAGGGCTATACGAGCTGCAATCCCGAGATAGACAAATGCGGTGTTCCTTCGGCCTTGGCCCAGAAGGTAAAAAGCCATGATTAAGAAGATCCTCACCACATCCAGATCAGGCTCTTCAAGCATCCCTGAAAAGGCATGTGACTGAGCGTGGGTGAAGTAGGCCAATTCGCGGTCAAGTGTATCAGCAGAAAGCTCACACTGGAGCCCGATGGCAATGACTAGCTCGGCGAGTGCTTTCTTGTGCGGATTTTCCAGGGACGGCGTCGTAAGAAGGGTTTCCAGCTCCTGTGGACAAAAGGGATCAATCAACCCCCCAGTCTAGCAAGCTCTCCGTTAGCACACATTTCGCAGACAAGTGGAACGGACGAGATTTTCGTACCACTGCGGAAAAGTAACCGGCGTACATGAGTTTCGTGTCGACGCTCATTTCTCCTGGGCTGGATGTGTGGTGACGTGCTTGGGGAGACTCTGTCTCGTGCATGATATCGCTTCTTCCATCTCGTGAGAAAGAGGAGGGGCCGATCTGTGACGCTATAATTTTCCGAACGCATTGCAGTAGTGATTGGGAGCCGCCTCTACCGATGAAAACTATTGGAACGGTGAGTATGGGACAAAGACGATGGGGGGCCGGCAGTGAATAAGGGTTCGGCACCTCTCTCGCCGTGAAGGTTGAGGAGCATGCGAGGCTGCGGCTTGGCGCCCAGTATCGGCGACTCTGGACGATTCTCATGATTGGATAGGCTCCTCTCATTTAAGGAAGTCCGGTCCCCTGGATGAGAAGGGTCTATGGCCTGGCTCGTCGACGAAGCCAATGTGCCAGCAGCGTTCGAAGGTCGTGTCTGGGTCAAAGGAGCCCGTTCGATCAGGCCCGCTGGGATGTCTGCAGAATCCAAGATGGCTCCTGTTCGCTCACTTGCTACAAGGCCTTGTGGGTTGGCAGCTGGAGCGTGGACTGGGATAGAGCACGAGTGGCCGATTCCACGCCGCTGGCAGAGAGTGCAAGGAGCCGCGCCTGAACATCTCTTCCGCACTGCGCGACAGGCGTTACAGGCCTGGACAACTCTCTGTCGCCGGTGCGGTGGAACTTTGGGGCGAGGCATTTTACCACTAGGGCCTAATTCCGTCGCTGTGGCATCACTGGTACCATGGTGCAGCCTAGATCATGTGCCCAGGGTGTCTTAGGAGATGCTGCTGTACTCGATAGAAGAAGCGGAGTTGCGGAAATGTCAATGGTTGATGCTTGGCGATATTATGTAATCATGTTCCAAGCTAACCGAGAGCTACCCGTTCCGACCGGGTCTTGGGAATAAGAAAACCACCAGATAGAGGAATACAACTAAATACCGTGCCAAGGTCTGAATACGTCTTTGAACCCAGTGAGGCTATGAAAATTCTCATATTGCGTCACTCTATACAGAATCAAAATCACATTCCCTTGAAGCTGATTTACGCAACCTCCTCAAGACTACTTTCAGTCGACTTACATCTATAGACCGCACAAGGAAACCGTTGAAATTAACAGAAGCATGAATACATATTGTCACTCTGGGACACCGGCCCCGTCTGGAATAAGGTGGTTTTATTGGGGCCACAGCTACGAGCATTCTTACACGCATCACCATCTCCAAACGTTGGATTGAAGGATTTTGAGTGATCACTAAGTGGATGGGGGAGACCTCAATCTCATGATAAGTGGTCTTGCGGGACAAGGACGTGGGAACTAACTAAGAGAAGCTCCTCCATGCTGACGCCAAGCGGAGCTTGATTAAGTGCTGGGAGTTCAGGTGAAACTGACCAGTGATACTATCTCGACTCGCTAGTCTTCGGCATCTTTGCTTCTAGAAATTCCAGGTGTTGTCAGGAAGGACAGTCGATAAGTTTTCCTTGTCGAACAGATCGGGTCAACGCGCTCACAAACCTTGTCAACAGATTGCAGAGACTGTTCCGGGCCTGGTCAGGGTAATGCTAGTCATCACACTCGACAGGCTAAGTCGTGGCAGACCTGGGGCTATCAATGAAGAATGGTAACAGTGAAGCGGCGGACTGATGACTATGGTCTTAGTTGTTTTACTTTGGTGTGCGTAATCAAATCACCGTGGGCTTGATTTGTTTGTTAGTCGTTACCGTGTGAGACATTTCCATGGTGGCCCAGCTGCATGTCGCATCCTAAGAGGTGATGTCTATCCCGCTTGAGACGGTGCCTTGGGGACGAGGCAATGTTGGTGCATGGCCTTGACCGATATAAGAGGCTGTCGCAGTAACACTGTAGCAGGAGAGGCTACAGGCTACTGTGTGCTCGATGTTTGGGCTGTTAGTTCCAATTGAAGACAGAGTTCCCTCATGACAGAGATTTCTCCCCGCGCAATATCAATTAGAGGTTGGGGTTGAGTGTCGTGCTGCAACTCGAGGGCCCGTTGCTCAGTCATATCATCAGTGAAGGGTTTGACGTGCCTGGATCCTTTGTATCGCATTTGACATTACGATTTCGGTTGAGCCTGCTCCATGTCTCTTAGAGAACTGGCGGTGGTAGTGAAGAATAGAAACACCAGCCGCCTCATTACCCGCCCAGGATCGTTTTCTCGCCGACATTAGCAGCGCACGTCTGTTTGCCGCCGCTATAAGGGTTGGAGAGCCCCGGCAAATACTGCTTACACCATGGCCACATGACGTCTATTGACCAACTACGCAGCCGCCGCAGGCCAGCGAGGACTTGAAACACGCCGACGGTCGAGCTCGTGCTCCCAAACTCGACACTACACAGTACTGTCTGTACTTCTCGATCAGTGTCATGCTCATCAAGGCGAATGGTGTGGCTACATACCGTTATAGCCTGACGCCTCACAGTAATGACAAGTGACCAAGTGTGACCCTGGACCACAACGCCGGGAGAGGAAGCCAAGGTCGCCGATGGCCTCAGCGCTGACCCGTGACGCAAGAAAATCCCAGTGTGAGGCGTGCCAGATGCCGAGCTGCTGCTCCCCCTTAGCCGCGTTGCCACCGTAACGCTTAGTCTCGATGCTGACGGCCAGCGGGTACTGCTGCAGTAGCCGGTCCGCCGTGCAATTGAAGCACGGGGCCATTCCCAAGGCCAGCGCCTCATATGATTTGTTGATATCTGGATCGCGCTCGGGCAGTAGCTGAAGGACATAGTCAATACGGCTGGCGGCGTCGGGAAAGCGGTGATATGCTGGGTCGATGCTGGTCGCGTACTATAAGGCGGCTCGGTTAGAGTCGAGTTGGTACAAAATGTAAGATGCAGTTACGACTTACCAGGGTATGAAGTCCAGGATTTCCTGGCCTGGTCCATCCCGCATATCATACAGAAGCATATCGAGCAGGGGTGAGTGCACAAGATTATTCCAGGCAGACTCGTCACTGAGCATGCGGGAGCAGTCGCTGGACCGGACAGCAATACGCGAAGCCCGACGAACCAGTTCCTCTCCACTACGGCTATCATACCGTGTCTGCTCGCACCCAAGGACTTGCCCGCCACATCGTTAATGTCCCCCAAGAAATCCCGAAGAGCTAGGGATAGAGGATCAGATGGTGCGGTCATACTGAGCGAACCTCGGACGAGCCGGTGGCCGTCAGGTCCATACAAAGGGAACAACTTGGACGGTGACTGTGATCGTCTCGACCGCTTGCTATCGTGTGAATAGGCAGCATCGCTCTGAGACGAGGACAGACTGGGAGCGCTGGTAGCCGGGCCCTTGCTTGCACTGGCTTTTGAAACCCTTGGTGTCTGGTCAGTGTCCACCATTGCGGCGTCACTGGCTGGCCGCTTCCCGGGTGACTTATTTGGTGTCGAGGGTGTCATAGCGGGGGCGGTCGAGTTCGACGATGACGCTTTGCGCGCGGCTTGCGAGGCGGGAGGGGAGATGGGGTGTCGTTCGCGTTTGCGCGATTCACTGTGCCTGAAAGAGGCCCGTCGCTTTCAGGTACGCTGGCCGTCAGCTTCGGATGTGGGCGCGGCGTCGTCAAATGGCAGGGCATCAAGCCAGTGCGCGACTCTGCCAACTGACAGGTTGTAGTCCATAAGGTTGCAGCAATGCAGAGGGATTCGTTGAGCTAAAGGGTGCGGAGGTCGATGGCGATAATACGTATCGTGACTATGCGTGTCGTGACTCTTGATTATGGGCATGTGGTTGCCGGGGGGGACATGCTACGATGGCTTATATCATATCTAAATAAAAAAAAGCTGATCGAAAGGTGACGTGCCTTGAAGCTAGACGTAACCTACCCTATACATCCACCAAATAACCAACCACCTCATGGCAAAAGTAAAAAGCAAATGAGCCTTTTTCTATTTCCCCTTGAACTTATCAATAAATTAGGCATCCCTGATATTTATAATTACCAATTGTCAAGTAAACGACTAACGAATCGATAAAGTATCTAGTTGCTGGACATAATTCTTCAACTTCCAAAGTTTCTACACGTTAGCTGAAGTGCATGCCCTTGGAGATCAACCTGAATAGAAATGTGTTAGTTCAGACTTTTGGCTTTATTAAACGCTCGGTAGATATTCCCAGAAATAAGTTACAAAATTGAGGCTTTACCATATCATAGCTCACTTCCCCGAGCATTTGTTGGGCATGTAACGCTCACTGTTGGAGACAGCCCTCTGATTCTCTGATTAGCTAAGCGTTGCTTACACGTGACCGCTGCTATCACGATAAGGAAGAGGGATAAGCGGTCAAAGTGGGCAGAATCTACATGTAGCTAGAGTAATAACAACACCTCATCCTCACACGAATCAACTTGCTCATAAGTAAGCGGAGCTAATGGACCTGGGCCAGTCATTTCAAGAGAATACTTCCAACAATTTCACACCAATTGACACAAAGACACCTGCATGGTCGCCGATGGCGATTGGGATCTAGACTAGATCTTGGCTATGCAGGTAAAGTAAAGTCAATCACCAAAAACGCCGTCCCTGCAGTATTGCAACATGCTTTGCTTTGAGGGATGTCTGAGCCTGTAGGTGCACGTACCATGTTCGTAGTAACACGTGAAGAGAGGGATTTTAGGCCAGGAAAAGGAGTGCATGTGGCGATCATTGCTCGGCAGTTGGCTCGGAGGTCGCTTTCGTTTCCAGACTACGTGCCAGGGTTGTCATACTTGGCAGGGCCATGTAGGCAACCAATTCCGAATTGAGGGATGTATCCACAAAACGGTTTTCCAACAATGAAACGGCGGTGATGACATGGAAACTGTCACTCTTCTACATCGATAGTAGCCAAAATAAATCGTCACTACATAGTAAGTTGGTTCGTCTACTCCAGTACCTGATGATCCAACTTCGCGCATTTAAGCTCACCAACATTATGCCGGTGTTTTTGTCTAGTGAGAATAGATATCATCATTTCGCCCAAGACACGGCATGCATGGGTAAAGCCAACCAGCTCCAGCATTCTGAATGCCCCTTGGCTCCATTCTTTTTACCATTCAAATATTACCAGCCAAGTAAGTCATACTAACCCTAATTAAGAAGGGAGAAAACAAGAGAAACCAAACTTGGCGCAATCACAAGCGAGTACATGCTAGAGGTTAGCCGAAACATGACTTCTTGGCCCCCCGGGGCTCCCGGATCACTACCAATCATGGGGACATTACAGCCTCACTTATCGGAAAAAGTAGACAACAATCACTGTCCTGACGCTAGCGGACCTTCGTCGGGTGCCGTTGACTATCCGCGCTTCTCTAATTCTCTGAAGTGCCCCAAGCCATCGGCCCGCACACTGGGAAAGGGCTAGAAGGGCTAGGGGAAGAAATTCCGTGTTCCGCGTCCTCGGCCGTTAATTACCTCAACTGATTGTCGCACAGGGATTATGTTCCCAACTTCGGATAGATAGCCGGTTTGATGAGGGGCTTCGGTTTACGAGTGAAAACAACATCGTAGGTAATCCCTGCTTGTGCACTACTGGGGTACTTGAAACCATGTCAATTTTATTCCGTTGAAAATAAACGGCTTGTAGCCCATCATAGCCTAGCCAGAATGCTTGACCCAGTAAGCCTGTGGGTTGCACCAGCTCTTGACACCCACCTCACCCCAGTCCATCCCCAGCCCACTCTCTTTGTGCCCACCGAAAGGAACATTGGGAGCAAGCTCGAAATGGGTGTTGACCCAAATGCTTCCAGCCTCCAGTTGTTCTACTATACGCTTGGCTCGGGGCACATCCTTGCTCCACACAGAAGCCCCGAGGCCATACTTGGTCGCATTCACGCGGGTAATCACATCGTCCTCATCTTTCCACTTCAAAACAGGACAAATGGGGCCAAATGGTTCCTCAGCAACTATTGCGGAATCATCGGGAGGGTTGTCAATAATGGTTGGCGTCAAGAAGTATCCCGTCTCTGGCTTTTGGCGCTCGGGCGTCGCTACTTTCCAGCCTTGACTGCCAATTTGTGAGTAGAGCTTGCGCAGCTTCTGGTACTGCATGTCATTTTGAATTGGACCAAAGAAGGCCTCGGCATCTTGATGATCTCCTGTCTTGAACTGCGCAACGGCTTTGACCATGGCGTCAAGAAATTTATCATAGATGTTCTCATGCACATATATACGCTTGATATTCATGCAGATTTGGCCTACGTGGACAAATGCCAGGAACGTGACCTGTTATACATCCCAAAGTGTGAGAAAAGCACAGAGCCAAGGAAAGAAGACGACAAGACAGAGGCGGAAGGGAGCATACCTTGGCAACAACTTGATCAATATCAACATCATCACAGATAACCGCGGCGTCATTCCCGCCGAGCTCCAACGAAACTCTCTTGAGAGTTGAGGCGCAGGCGGCCATTATCTTCTTCCCTGTTTCAACAGATCCTGTAAAGCCAATCTTGGCAATACCAGGATGCCCAGTGATCAAAGGGCCAAGAGAATCATCGCCACTCAGGGCTTGAAATACTCCAGGGGGAAAAACTTTCGCACCGATCTCGGCCAGCTTCAAGGCAGAATAGGGGGTGAAGGGCGATGACTTCCAGATGAATGTGTTACCGGCAAGAAGTGCTGCCACTAATTTCCCCATCCCAAGCGTGAGAGGGAAGTTCCAGGGAACAATACCTGCGCACACGCCTAATGGCACGTATCTGACAATTGCCGTGCGCTATACAGAGGAGCAGTTAGCTAGGTCTCTCGGCTGGGGCTGGTAATTTGAACACACATCTTCATCATCAATGATCTTCTCCTCCTTGATGCGCAACTGGGGGATCCCTCGAGCCAATCCCATAACGAGATATAGCTCAAACCCCCCAGCCTGAGGCGGCTTGCCCACCTCTTGTCCTAGGAGCTTAATGAAGTCCTCTTGGTTCTCCTCGATGGCATCAGCGAACCTATCGAGGTACTTCTGACGGCCATCATACGAGAGTTTGCTCCATGCCGGGAACGCGGCTCTACCTGCTGCCACCGCTCGGTCAAGATCTTCCGCAGTAGAGACCGGCACTTCCCATAGCGGCTTCTCAGTGGAAGGGCAGATGGCGTGGCGAGTGGTGGCCGTGGATGTCAATTCGTTGTTGATGACATTTTGAAAGGGCCCCTCAAAGGAGACCTTGTAGTCCGAGGTAGTGGCCATGGCGTCAAAATCGTGATACTATCAGGTAATTTACGACTTGATGAGGATAGACACGGCAAGCGACAGGAGCAGCGCAAGGGTGATATGAGTATTTGAAGTAGCAACGACTGAGCAATGAGGAAAAATGATGATCAACAGTAATGAGTGGTGTCACAGGGAGGAGGTGCAAAGGATAGAGCTCGCTTATGCCAACAGGCGAAATGATGATGAACTACGGGCTGTTTGGCTCCGACAATGTAGGGGCTTTGGACTTTGGGTCACCGCAAGTGTTGCAGCTACTACGATAAGTCACCAATGGCATGGCTTGGCCACCGGCAGCAAGTCTGATCCGCTATGTGGTTCGTAAGGGGTCAGGAACCTTGTCCGTCTTCCGTGACACCCGCCCTCCACTTGCAAATACTTGGGGGGGCCTAACCTGGGTAACCTGGGCGAGCCCCTGGCGTGGTGAGGGGGCACATCAACATGGGGTATATTTAAGTGAGGCTACCTACTTCATTTTGAGCAAACAACACTAACTAAAATATGTCACCTTTATGGGTCGTGTGTTGATCTTGTTTCTGTTGGTTCCTCCCCCTTTACCGAGGTTTGGGCTAAGTAGGCCCCCCCACATGCATGTAACGCAATAAGGCCCTTTGTGGTTAACAAGACACCGCGCCGTAGCATTCAGTATGACTGTAATGCGACGAGAAATTCCCTTGCAGCTGAATATTACATGGGGGACGAGTCTTTCGGGACTTTCCCGGTAGTAGTCCTCCGGTAGTAGCTCTCCGAGAGTGAGGTCCAGATTCTCCAACGCCAAAGTCAACCTGTTCAGTGCTGTCTGATTTGATGCATGCCAAAAGTGGTGGGGATAGCCATGGGATCATGCATTCCCAGCAAACGATAAAACTAGGTCTTCTGATAGCCCAGTGATCTGTTGCTGGGAAGGCAGGCATTAGATTGCACAATTGAAGGTGGGTTGGCTCATTGCTAACGCATCTGGGGGCATCCGATGTGCTGGTATGCCCTTGTAACATGGCCGGGTCAGGGGGCAACCAGGCTTGCCCCTTGGCAAAACCTATGTGCGACCTTTCGCTGGCATATTCTTCGTGCAGATGGCTCACTAGCCCTCCTTTAACTAATGGACAGAAATATATGACATTGAGGGATGGCCCACTTCAACGGCGCGTCTCCCTCCACAATCCCGCATGTTCGCCCGAATGCTTCGAGCTTTGTATTCTCTGTGTGGTGTTCATTGAGTAGGCTCATCCAATTCACGAAACGGGCACTCATGCCATCGCTGGATGATATCGGCTATCCCCCCTACTTAGTGTTCAACCAGCGTCTACGTCCATACTCAAACCGCGACATACAATGGCGTACTCGCCTCTTGCAGAAACGTGGGGTCTGTATGCAGGAGGCTCGTTGATATTTTTGGCACGAATTGTGTGTCGACTCCGAGCCGTTGGTTTGGTCGGCTTCAAGCCCGACGACTACATTGTCTTTTTATCATGGGTATGCAATAGTTCGGTTACTTTTCTCGCAATGAATTTTGTTTTGTTTTGTCTGTCATCGATTAACATAGCTGACATACGTCCGTGAAATCTAGGCCACATACACGGTGATGACCGTGGCTGCCCATATTGTTGGTGGTCTTGGTGACCTCCATGCGGTTTCTCTCGACGCTCGAAAGAACATGACCCCGGAAGAGGCTGCTCCACTAATCTACGCGACGAAATGGTTCTGTGCTGGCGTTGCAACCTACATTCTCTTCATCTGGACGTTGAAACTAAACATGCTTTTCCTCTATCAACGCATCGTCAACGGGCTCTGGGTGGAGAAGTTTATAATGCCTACCATAATCTTGGTGTTGGCGACCTTCGTCGCAATCTATGGCATCTTATTTGGTGTATGCCGCCCGTACAATCGAATGTGGATTGTTTACCCGGATCAAGGAGGTTAGATACAACACAGGCCTGTTTCTTTGCGTGTTTTCTATCTTTTGGCATCTACTAACCTTGTAGCAGAATACTGCCAACCTCAGTCTATGCTCAATATGGTCCCGCCGCTCGTCATGAACATTGTCACCGACTTGATTATCATGGCTATCCCCGCCCCTGTTGTGGTACCAGTCAAAATTGGCATCTGGAAGCGAATTGGTCTCCTCTGCTTATTTGGCGCGGGAATCTTTATCATGGTCGCTGCTATTCTAAGAGTGACCATGGTACTAGTGGTAAGTTATGCCCTACCTCCTAGCTCAGGTTGACAACGTCTAAGACATACCAATAGATGAAAAACGGACCGACAGCGGCAATTTGGTCTTGCCGTGAGGACTTTGTCGCAATCGTTGTCGGCCAGGCTATATTAATAAGGCCCATCTTTACGAAGAGGTTCTGGACGAACGATTACGGCCGTGGAATGACCGAATATGGCTCCTCAAAACGCTCAAAGAACAGCGCGCATCTCGAAGAGTCATACGAAATGGGTTCCAAGAAGCGAGGGAAGGCCAAGGACCCCTTCAGTCTCACAGCGGCACTTGCCACTGTTCAAGAAGGAAATGGGTCCACTGAGAAGATTATTGATCCATCAGCATCGTCGATATCAAACGTGCAGAGTGACGTCGTGACACACCCCTCTGGAGGGTCCTCTCATGCTTCCTCAACAGGGCAATGGGGGAATAATAAGAACAGGAGGAGTAGGGCTCAGCCTATGGTGATTCATGTGAGCAAAGATGTGGTAGTGGGGACAGAAGAACCTAAATACCATGCCAATGGGTCTCCAGGAAACCCGGCTACTCCATGGGGTAACGCCTAAAGTACTCACGCTTTTTTGATTTTGTTTGTTCTTTCTCTAGCCTATTCCTTTCATCTATGAGCGTTTCATCTAACAGCTATTATACTTTATATCATATAATGTACTACTAAATATTTTGAACCACTCCGCAGGATTTCGCCTGATCAAGGTTTATGAGAATGGTCCGGGGGAGCATCCAGGTCCTTTCAAACCTCTGGCCTAACCTCCCTCACTAGGTTCTCTGCCTTTGGAGAGTCGCCGGAGGTCAGAATACAGGGACATCGACGCTGAACAATAACACTATGGAGATTGATCTAGATAACTTGGTAACATGTTATAACCATTAGATCTCGATGATGATTCGCGCACGTCCTGAATTTGGTTCAGACTGCGCTCCCTAGGTGTAGATATGAAGTCCACATCTAGTCTTTTAAAATGCTCGGTTTCCTTGCAATTTCCCAACTGTCACATACGGTCAGGAATCTCAACTTGCCCTTGCGTCCGGAATGACGCCTGAAGTTGGTGGCCACACATCTTCCATCTACGACATCGTCTATCCAAATATTCAAACAATTGTCCGCGACCAAGAAATAAACATGAATAAATGACAAAACTTATGCTGACAATAACCAGCGTTTGGCGATCGCTACCGAATCAGACATATTGGGGCAGAGAAAGACTGGGGTCCTGGCAGCTTTCCACAGTTGCCTTGTCGAACCATCGATCGGCCATGCGAACCACATGCGATTAAGCATTGACTGGGTGACTTTCCAGACAAAAGAATCTAGATGCTGGAGCTTTTTTTTGCGATAAACATAGACGGAAGTCCTTCGACCACCAACCTACTTCTCGGGTTATTTTTCAAGTCTATAGGTCGGCGTGATTGAGTCCGTATTAAACCTCAAGTTCTACATTCCAGGTGTGTGCCTTGTGGTGTGGCTCAGCAGATTCTATGCAGACTCAGCCCCGCTGATGGGCTGTTGCACAGGAGCTGAAAAAGATATCGACCCCGCCCAGGATGCAACAGAAGTGATGCTCTTTCGTCAGACTAATCGTCGTCTGCTTTCCCGTCATTCAACATCATCATCAGCGGTGCTAGCTCCATTGCTGGCGACCAAGCGTATACCTCCACCTGGTGTCGCAACAGTCCTCCATGAGTTATGCGAGAGGGCGGAGTCCGGTTCGATGAGCATCCTGCGAGACTTTAGGATTGATGATCTGGCTCCCCATGCGCCAGCGCACGCGAGTTCCCCTCGACAACGGCGACAACGATGCCGCGTCACGAGCAGATCCCCGACCTCGTCCACGACTCCAAGATCGAAACGTCTGTCACGGGCAGCAGAATCGAGCATGTCTTCTACGAGCCGGGCCGCACTCCACAGGAGCGACAAAGACGGAGGGTTGAATGCTGGGATCGCGATGTCATTCTGGGAAAAGGCGCATACGGCATCGTGTACAAGGAGCGCCGGTGCAGTCAGTCTGGAACCTCAGAGACCCTCAGAGCGGTCAAGCAAATCAGCAAATCCGTGGTCGGCGGCGAGCCATTAGATTACATCAGGGAGCTAGAAGCTATTATCAAATTTTCGCATCGCAATGTGAGTACACCGCCATGCAGTTATACCTTGGACAAGAAACTGACTAGGCACTCGGCAGTATTCTCACTGTTTTGTGCGATCTGATGGGTGGTTCGAGGAGGGAGATTCGATATACATCGCGATGGAATATATTGAGCATGGCGACTTGCAAAGATATCTTAGTCGACCGCTCCCCGAGTCTGAAGCGAGGCAAATCACGGGACAAGTGTTGGAAGGCCTCCACTTTATGCACGACAACGGTTTCGTCCATCGAGATCTGAAACCCGGGGTAAGATAAACCAGAGATGATTTCGTTACCAAGGAGTGGCAGAAGGCTAAGAGTCGAGTATAGAATATCATGGTTGTAGGAAAGGGCCCAGACTGGTTCGTCAAAATTGCCGACTTTGGTATCAGCAAACGCCGACAAAAAGGCGTCACCACCTTGCATACATTACAGCGAGGCACCCTCGGTTTCGCGGCCCCGGAAGTTCTCGGCGTGAAGACGGGAGGGCAGGGGGGCTCGTATACGTTCGCGGTCGACATCTGGTCCTTGGGTGCGGTGACATACTATATTCTCACAAATAATATGGCGTTTGATAATGCCACCGACATCGTCATGTATGCCATGGGGATGGGTGAGTTTCCGATTCAGGCCTTGGAAAAGAACAATGCGTCAGAAAAGGCCAAGGATTTTGTCAAGGCCCTGTTGGCTGCGAACCCAGAGTCCAGGCCGTTGGTGGCAGCGACAACTACTCTTCCATGGTTGGCCGAGCCGTTAACAATGAAACCAGAGGACGTGATGACAGGTTCAAGGTAAGCCATTGCATCCTTCAATATGTTGATATACAGCGCGAAAACCTGACCATAAAATGCTTCCATGAATTCTAACCCAATATAGAAGTGAAGGGTCGTCAAACAATCTCCTCTTTACGGACTTCTCCAAAGCCTCAGCTACATGGACGACCAACAAGAATGACATTGTAGATCGGATAGACGATCGCTCGATTGCTTCACAAACCGATCCAGACGTTGAAACTGATAATGATGATGATATCAATGACGATGACAGCGAAGAGGCGCGTGACGACGACCGTACCAACGAAAATATGGCAAGTCAAGTCGAAACCATTCAACCTGAAACCATTAAAGTAGTCCCATCTCAAAAATACCAGCCACCATATGTCGAAGATGCCGCGGACGATTCGGCATCAATTCACCCTTTGCCGTTGGACGTGGACGCCCAGCTTGTTCTTGATGAAGACGGGGACATGACAGAGTCAGAGAAAAAAGAGAGCGGAGAATCAGAGCTGGAATACGAGTCAGAAACCGATGCTTCCGAACCCGTGGCCGATGTGAATAAGCTCTGGAGCTCCTGGAACCTCCAGCCGGGGAGTGATCTGCCAGTTTTGAAAAGTCTTCGAGACCAAGAATCTTTTTGGAGGCTACAGGAAGGCCTTGGAGTCTGTATAAGGCTTCATAGAGTGACGGACGTCGTGGAATCATCGGATCTTGGGGAACGAATGAGCGCTGGCTCAAAGCCACGGTAAGAAGAGCCACCTACGACTCGGCTCACCGATCACCGACGAGAAGACTAATGTTGTTCTCTATTAGAATCTGCTACGCATGCAAACGATCTGTACCCGAGTCAACTTCCGGGGCAGAAGGCTCTTGTGGCCATTGGCATTGCGTGCAATGTATTTCGTGGTCGTTGAGACACGCAGCGGTTAGCTCTCAGGCACTGCCACCAAGCTGTTGCTCAAACGCGATCACCTGGACGCTTCCGAACGAGATCGGCCTCTCCATTGAGTCACGCACCAATATCACTCGGAAACCATTGGTTCGTTGTGGGGATCATGATTGCAAACGTCGATTTGAACCGGTGTATTTGGTAAAAGACCCTAAGACGAAAGCCTGGCTAGTTTGTTGCCCAGCATGTAAACATGCCTCGTGTTTCGAATGCCTCCAAAGTCCAGACAGTAAGGATCAAGTAGACCACAAATCCCCTTGCGGCAATAGCGGAGGAGTCCAAAGCGATCAAAGCGATGAAGACTCATCTTCGGATGGATCTAGCTCGAAAACCCATAAAACCAAGCAGGAATCGGTCAGCGGCGATGCCGATGATGAGTGGGAAATCACGAACGAGGGGAAAATTCCCCTGACCAATACCGAGTCTGAGAGCGAAAAGGAATATTGTAATCACTTTACTAAGCCTCTAAGGAAGAAGAAGGGGGAGAAAAGGGTGACAGCCAAAGCCCGGCCTCATAGACGAAGATCCGTCACCGTCAATCACGTGGAGCCTCTAACAAGGCCGCCAGCAAGGCCTCCCACAAGAGTGAACACAGGCATCACAACAAGAAACGCAACGTAAGTTTCGACTGAACGGGGCACCTACTCGAATTAAAATGGAGATACTGACCCCAAATCCCTCTAGACTAAACGATCATCGCTCACAATACATATCCTCTTTGAAAGTCCAGACGTTCAATGGCGGCCAGCCAATGTTCAGAGCAAATTTGATCTCCATGCCTGATGTCTTTTCGCTGGATAATGGCTCGAATGGGGATTCCACTTATCTCCATGGCTTAGTAGCTCGAGACATTAAGGCATGGAGAAATAGCGTAACTCCAGGTTTCCCCGATGATTCACTTGACTCCTGGCCTGTCCCTGTTAAATACCCAAAGAACATGGATTCCGATGCAATTGATCACAGAATGAACAATGCGGGCCAGCGACCTCCAAGAAAGGCATATAATGGTCCACGCACTTGGAGAAACTCGCCTGTCCCATCGTCAAGTCGGGCGATGCCACCACCACCGACTCAGCGGCCATATGATTATGATTACGATCCCAGATACCCCCCAATGCAGCACCCCAATCCGCCATTAATAAAGGTGAACACTTCAGTACCTTATGGTGCAGCCGATGGAAAATATGATGGACGATCTTCACCTATGCGGGCCTACGTGGGAAATGATAAGAATTATCTGCAAGAAGATCGACGATTTCCCTCAGTACAGCACCTCGATTCGCCGTTTGCAAAGGTAGAAACTTCAAAAGCCTACGAGATGGACGATATAGCATACTCGCAGTATCCTCAGCAGGCTTAATATGTGGCAAGGATTGTATCTAAATGAGACTATGTGTACACAGAACCTCTAGCATTGAATTTCAACACAATATCAACATAATATAAAAACAATTAACCAGTAATAACCATAATAACCACAATAGCAGCTAAATACTTGAGAATAATAACCACCAATTTTCCTATTGCTGCGTTTAGTATTATAGATAAGAAAGTGAGGTACCTGACTTGTGTGAACAGAGTTTTGGTGTGCTATGTTTCATGTCACTCGCTTGCGGGCTTCTTCATTAATAAGTGTCGTGGTTGGCTACGCATTAAAACTTTGATAAAAACTTTGACAACAAACCTCAATTGTGCCAAACTCTGTAAGTGGCGACACGCAGCTTCAAATGCTTTGTTACCTCAGGCAGAACTTGCTCGTCTTTCAAACCCCCAAGCCATTCCATGTTAAATCATTCCTCCGTCGTCGCCCATAAGCATTACATTTCCGAAGCATCTACTTCTCTAGGTCGCAAGACTGACCTCAGAGAACGCCATGTCTTGGTCTATCCTTCCAGCCGAACTGCGGCTGGCTATTCTGCGTGAGCTACAATACTTCAAGATTCGGGAATATAAGCCCCCAGCAATGCGACACAAAGAGAACGCAAGCTGTCCTGACCAGCAATCCGTTTATGCTTCTGTTTGTCGGGAGTGGTGCACCTTCTTCGAGGCCACCAACTTTTCACACCTCATCATCGATCAAAACGACCTCTTTGCTCTATCTGAGTTGATGCAGTCTAGTAGACGTCCGCTTGATCACACAAGATGGATATGGCTACGGATAGAACTCCTTCAGTATGATTGTACACGATGCAAACAAGCTAAATCGAGAAGCGAGCAAATCGCTGACAACATTGAAATCGCCACCCCCATAATCGTTTTGTTCTTGATACTGGCTCATATGGGCACTTCCCACGCCGAGATCGACGTTGAACTAAGCGCCCATTCGCCCAGTGATACTCAGCACTCTTTTCCGAATTTGGCGCGCATGGAAAGCCATACACGATGGAAATTTCCAGACCGTCCCGGACACCTGGCAAGCCACACGGATGAGTTTCACGGTTGGCGCCAGGGGCGGAGGAAGAAAACCGGCTGTGGCACAAAGTTGAGGCTATTTGGTCACCCCTATGGTCTCGAATTAGATCGGCCTCTCTTAACAGATCCGAGCCGTACGCCTCCAGACGGTAAGCTGACAAAGGTCCCCGTCGTCACGACCTTGACGATTCGAAGGCAATGTTATCGACATTTCTCGGTGTCCAAAGGGCTTGTGCCTATAATTGAAAGTCTCGTCTGTCTTAAGAGGCTCATCTACGAACCTTGGCAAGGAGTCATGCACACCAACGTCCCCGGGAGAGACATCAGGGATCAAGAGCATGCCCATCTACTGCTCGATGTATTCGAGTCCCGCAGCAGTACACTGAAGCAAGTCAGCATTTACGAAACAAGCCAGCCTTGGTACTGCCCGGACTTTGGACAAAGAATCGCTAATCCGGCACTTGAAGAGCATCTGAGTGTGACTAGTAGACAGTTCAAGAAATTACATGTTGCCCACATGGTTGATGCTAAAGACTTTTTCCATGCCTTTTGGGAAACTAGTACCCTCAGAGAACCGTTAAAGGAGAGATTCAAATGGTCTGACCTCACAGAACTATCCCTGACCTCGAAGATGTTGAGTCCAGACTCTTTCAACTTACTGATCACAACGGCGGCAGCAGCAGCAGCATCGAAAATGCCAACACTTGGGTCCATGGAGCTTTGGGATTTTTCTCGGAAGCACCAGTGTGTTTTTTTTTACAATATTGAAGACCGGAAATGTATAATTCGCTTCGAGAACTCGTGGGGAGGCCGGCTAAGCAGAGATGCTCGAACCGCCTGGCATCGCGTGGTCAGAAATCTTCATGGATTTGATTTGGATATTTTCCATCAAAAGCATGACCGGGTTCCTACCATCGGGAAAATGATACAACGTCTGCGATCAAAGAATGGGCTTTTGACTGATGCTAGCCAGAGTCAGATTATGTCTACATAGGATGGACGCTTCGGCTGCCAGCCAGGACCTGCCACCGGACATAACTGCTGAACATGGCGGCTGCAACCGATTAGGAATAAACTCAACTCAACTCACCTCCTACCTTCGCCCCTGAAATTCCATGGTGGTGGAAGTCCTATGTTCTCTTATTATCTATATTCAGTCGAATTCCAATCAGATTTACTAATTTCAACCTTCATTACAAACCCAAGTCCTAGTTATCTCTGCTTGGAATAATGAAACTCAACCTATGAGTAATCACCTGACTGTAACCTAGATAGAGAACCAAGTATAACTTTAAAAAAATAATACCCAAAGTGTTAAGATATTACCTGCATCAATTATTGCCCTCAAGATTCATTTTACACTTCAAAAATTTAATGCAACACCTTAGCTTGCTCTAAAGATAGTTGTTTTAACTGACAAAATTTATAATTTTCCTATCTAACAACCAACAAAATAAGAGATATATATAATTATAGGCTCAACCGCAACTCAAGAGGCTACTTGGTTTTCTATAAGGGTTCTTAAATTTCTATGGGTGCCAGTAAAAGAACCTCTACGTGTAGATATAGCACATCCTTATTCCGACTCGCACCACCCCCCGACCTAACTTCACACAAAGCACCCCATCGCACAATCTTGCCGACAGTGTCATCCAACCATTGTTTAGTACTCGCAAGCGCAGTGACCCCCCGGGTTGGAGCACATAGGACCGCATTGTTCTTGTCGTCCACCCCGCCTGCAGCAGTAGAAGCCCATTGCCGTAAGCGGCTCTTTGCAGATGCCCGGCGGGAGCATTTTGCCCTTGATAACAACTGGCTTAGGAGATGACTTAGACTTAGAAGCTGACTTAGCGGCAGTCTTTGCCTATTCATTAAGTCAGTAAGAGGAAAAGACAAGCTAGAGTGGGAGTAAAGACAAGACGCACTCGAAGGTAAAGCTCGCGCTTCTCAATGTATTCGTCACGGGCTACCAGGAAGTCGTCATAGACTTCCGAGAGCTCACGTTGAGCGAGGCCATTGTTGTCATTGGCATCGTATGTAGCAGCAAGGCCAGAGAGACCAATAAGCGTGATGATAGTCTTGGTGAAATGCATTTTGGTTAGGAGTAGTATGAGTGACAGGGTAAATGATTTGAATGAATAAAAGGTACTGATAGAGAACAGTTTCTTAATTATTCTAGTAGAGAGCTGGGTTTATATACCTTGTTTCTTCTATCCTTATACCATGTCAGTCAGGGGTACTCTCTATTTGTAAATACCGGACACGATAGTGACGGCTTCATTGTCTAATTGACTTTGATGTTGATATAGTCGGGTGTTTCCTATTTGGAAAGTACCGAAGATAGTGCTGTGTACTCCGTAATAAATTGCTAGGCAAGTATTGCCTAGCACCTCTCCAGATAAATTTGCGCATCCATCGTCTCTCATATCCCATGTCCAAGCTCTGAATTCCAGGATTATCTTCAAGTTTAGCGTATAGCATGGCGTTATCTTTAGAAAGGTCACCCCATGATATTAACGCAACGCAATACTACAATCTTTAACTGGTTTTTTTTTCCAGCGGAGCAAGGAACAGTCATCAAAGGACGGCCCCTCTAACCTGAATATTGATACACAATCGTCAAGTTCTGCGTACCAAGGGCGTTCTTGTGGAGGGCAACGGCGTGGATAATCCAGACAACACAGAAATACCCAGCTTTAACTGAAACACTTTCGATCTCACTATCTCCGGTTATAGCACTTCCTGTGTCAATCACTTCAACTTCACTACCTTCGGTTAAGTTTGTAAGTCCGCCAAGCCAACAGCAATCTCTGAGCCAGAATCAATCTACTGGGGTTATGTTAGCAAGGGGAACCTCTGACAGGGGGTTTGACTGAAATTCTCTTCTCGACTCCTTCGGCAGGTCTTGATTTCGCATTCGCCACACCGTTGCCGACGCCCCAGAGTGATCTCCCCCACAAGACTGTCGTTTTGTTGTCACAGGGGCCAGCTCGGGAGATAGCAACGCGCGGCGGCTCGGAATTTTCCCGTCTTGGTGCTGCCGAGGTCATCCTAGCCTGCCGGTCTGCTGAGAAGGGTAAGGCTGCCAAGCAAGACATTGAGTCGCGGAGGCTGCCGCCGGAGTTGTCGAAATATGGCCGCTGGAGCAGGCGTTCTGCTCCGGGCGGACAAGCTCGCCCTGATGTGTTTGGCCAATGCCGGTCTGATGAGCGCACAGTGTCAATTTTATGAGGGCCATGGACGCTAGACACTTGTGCATGTCATTGCTCCAATCCTCATGGGGCTCCTTCATTTTCCCGTCATGCGGAAGATACTGGGGCAGATTCAAAGCCACACGCACTATGTCATTGTCTGCTCAAACGGCCATATGTACACCAAATTCCTACCAGGAAAGGAGGGGTCCATCTTCGCTGCGGTTCAGGGTGATTGAGATATGTGTCTATGTTACTACGACTGAAAGCTAATGAATTTTTTTGCGGTGCGCGAAATAGCAGCGAGAATGAAGGCAAGTAACAAGCCTTTGATTGTTGTCAACATGGTGGATTCCGGGTTCTGCCAGAGCGATCTCATGTGAGAGTTTGGGAATTTTCTGTTAGAATCATGATAGGACTTTCCGATAAGATTCTGGCTCGTAGCTCGGATTCGGGCGCCTGTTCGTACATTATGGAACGAGTTGGTCGAGATTGTAAAGGATGCTGCTCCGGGTGCGGTTGACAATTCGTAATGGACATGCTTTCCAGTCCACCAGCCATTGAAAATAGAATCGGCCTGTGCTTGCAGTGCTGAGATTGGCTTGCTAGTCTGTATTGTGCATCACAGTCATATTCTACAGTTGATAGGCTACGCGTAAACCATTCTTCTTTCTTCGCAAAGGTCTACATCCTCCGGAGGCTCCGCGGCCGAGCGAGTCAGGTGCCGCACACACCATCCCAAGCATGTAGTCTACCCACCCAAATCATCGTCTAGATTCTCAGATATATTATGAATAAAACGGAACATACCTCCTGCGCCTACACATGTGGATAACCTACAGTACATACTAGGCTATACCTTACCTCTACCTCCTCTTATGTCGTCTAAATTCTCAACGCGACCCACAAAATATTGCTCTATTAATAAAAATCCGGTCGCAGGGGGCTGGTACCTGCTTACCCTCGCCATACTCTACATTAGTGCTGTTGACAAACTTCATTCTCTTCACCACATGCATGCGGCTATCGTAGACGGCTAGATCATGCCTCCCTCAAGCTCTGCTCGAGTAATTCGATGCCGTTTGATTCGCCCATGTCGTTTTTTTTCGGATGGCAACTGCCTTTCTCGCTGAGGCTGATGGCGTCTTAAGTTACAAGGTTCACCATGGCACCAGCGAAACCGCTTATGACATTCTGTGGAAAACAAATGAAAGCGACATATCCATTTCTGGCTTAGAAATATATCCTCCATGACCTCTTTTCACGAGGGAGGAGTGGGAGGAAACCTGTGGCCATGAGCATGAAGTCGTGTCCGAGATGGCCACTCCCTTTGCGGAATAGATGATGGAGGACCATCCTAAGGTAAAGGCTTAGATCATTGTGTAGCATGACTTTGGGAAATTTTGGCTAAGTTTTGTATGAGAGCTGCTGTATCCGCTGTTCTCGCCCCTAGGCATCTTTGCGACATTTCTGGCTGGTCATGTCATGGGCATCCGGCAGGCCACGCGTAAAGCACATTTCGGATGGTGGTCGATGTCAGTCCGAGAATGGGAGGGAACGCAACCTGTGGGGGACTTCCTTTGAAACATTGATGAAATTAGTAGGATACTCGAGGACTATTAGGGCTTTCTCATTCAGATAATTGGTTTTTGCTGCCCGACCGGGCAAGCGAGCGTAACAATGAAGCCACGATCTCTTCCATGGAAGAAAGGTTTCCACTTATTTCTAGTAGGTCACCTGCTGAACAGGAATTGAATAAGGTAGGTTCATTCCGAGTCAAGTAAAATTCATCCCTTGTATAAATAGGAGAGTTTGATTGGTTTAGTAGTCAAGCCTTAGGTAGCCTACGTTTTTTTTTTTTTGATTCACGGACCTCTCTAAGATCTGACCTTTTTTAGCCCATTCTCGTTCTGATTCGCGGACCTCTCTCGGACCAGACCTTTGTTAACTCGTCTTTGTTCTGACATGAACACGCCCTGGACTCGACCTTTGTCCTAGATAGTTTATAGGTTGACGTTTTCCCTTCATTCAATAGAACTTCTCTTGATATCAATTATTTTTTCTTGCCAAATAATTCAGTCATTCATAGTCCCGAAAATGGCCTCTAACGCCAAAAAATGCATCATCAGCCCGGGGGTGAGCCTAGGCGACCCTTCCATGAAGCGCAAGCAGTCGCCTACCACTGCCCTCCAAGGCAGAGAGAAAGTTATGAGAAAAGGACAAGAATCGAGGGGACCGTCCCTAGATATTCAGACCTGGAAGGACGACGTTGTGTTGCCGCGTTTCCCGGACTCGGAACAAGCGTCGCTACGCTGGAAATATCGTATGAACTGTGCAATCGATATCCCAACAATTGAGAATGAATGGTGGGGGGGCCTCAAAGACGAGATAAGTGGGTTAGTGATGGAAACATTACCTATGGTCATCTCGTGGGAGTATGTCAATGACCAAGGTAAAAAGTCACTGTCCACTTGGTTTCCTCGCGCAAAGGACTACATCGACCTTTGCAAGAAGCGCAAGCGTGAGGATGGATCATCTTGCATCTATTCAGCTTGGATTTGGCATATACTTATGGACTGCATTTTCTCGCCATCTACTAAGAAATGGCGTGATGAGGAGTGGAATAGTTTCGGTCGATTTCACTCCAAATTCAAAGGTATATCTTCTTCACACATTGACATAGCTCATCTAAACCACCCTGCTCTTCTTCCAATACCTCCGTTTTATCGCCGATGCTGACTAATTTGTATGACCACAGAGCACGTTGATTCAGTAGATAACGAATTCACCTTGTCCTTCTACTCGTGGAGGAGCGAATCGGTGCGCATGCTGTACATGTTCAACGGGACCCATATTGACCCTGAATTGGTCAAGCAAACTCTACGAGACCATCTGGGACCCTCATTCGTTGTCAGAGGCGCAGATGATAGCATCATTGAAGAGGCACTGTCGAATATTGTCGATCAGGCTATTCTTATGGATCGCCAAATGCTGGCATCCAAGTGGGATTTCAGGGTTGAGATGTGTGATCCCTCATCGGGCCGGAATAGCGACTTCCTTTTCACTACTGACGAAGCCCTTATGCGGTTTGATGGCCACTTTCAGGAGACGCCAGCTCCTAGAGATGGCGCGCGTGTTGACTTTGTGTCTGCTCCTAGCTTTCGAGTACTGGGAAAACCTGTTGTGGGCGAAGCTACTGATCCTTACACGGAGTTTATGATCAAGAGGTTGGTCAAATATTACCACGTGCCCAGTCTCCATATCCCAATACTGGTAGTCACGGACCAGCTATCTGAAAATGCACGCGAGAGATTGGAAGCAATTGAGGCAGAAAAGAAGCGGGCAAGAAAGGGCAAAGGCGGATGTGAGGATACTGTTGCTGAGAATGTCTGAGGTTGGAGAGAGGTTGGAAAAGAAGTTTTGACTCTCACAAAATGTGATCTTCTATCATTATATTTGCGAATTATCCGTTGTCTTAGTTTGGAAAGTTTAGTCCTGCAAGTGTGCATAATCTATCCCAATTCTTTTCGGAGTTTGGCCCTTCAACCCTTCAACAGTGGCGCATTACGTCTGACTTTTGTGGGGTTGTTCAACCGTTTCTCTTCATTTTTCTTCTTCCCTTTACAAGTCCACAGTTAGTCTAAGTTATTACTAAATCTAAGACTGCTAGCTTTAAGAAAGTCTAATATTGTGAATGGATACATAGAATGGGTGATCTCGCGGGAAATGATGGATTAGCATGTTATTGTGGAATTTTCATCGATGCTTGATAAAGATTAAAGAATGAAGTTATATAAATTCAAGATAGAAAGGTAACTTGAATTGAAGATATCTTAGGCAGTGCATTAACTGAAGTAGGCATCTAATACACCTTCGGGGTATTCATGCTAATCTACGAGCTGATCGAGGTCGAAGAGTTAGAGTAAATCAGCAGCACGATAAATGCCTTAGCACTCCCAACTGCACTTTGAATCACCCAAGTTAGCAATTGCACGAGCCATCTTCTGATGGATAATTAACGTACCCTCCATACACCATCGGCACATTTGACAAATGTACATTGGCGTGTCTCAAGGTCAGATTCATGGATGTCAGGAATCGCGACGGCCATGCAGGTCTTGGAAATAATCGCGAGGTAGAAAATGTTAAAGCGCATGGTGAAATTCAAAAAGAAAGACCAGTAGACGAGTATCAAGAACAATATACAGGGATCGGAACTTGCAGGTTGGCGTGTTGGATGAGTAGCCGAGTGCAGCAAAATAGCGTGATCAGATGAGCTTTATATAAGATTTCACCTGAAAGCTCAAATATTTTGTGAAGCGCAATTTCGAAGAATATTGCCGCTTTGACTAAGTTCAGCCACCCAGGTTGCAGTCCGAATACTCCTATCCTGACAAGGAACTGATATGAAACAAGGCAAGTTATGGTACTTTAGACCAGATACCAGGATAAGTCCGAGCGCACCAATCGGCGACTTTTGTCGGTGAAATTCCAAGGTCAAGACGAAGAGCATGAATTTCAATGAGCCAGCTGGGAAGAGGCTTTGGCGGAAAGGCTGTGCGAACCCCATCAGCCTTAACATTTATGCAGGGCTGGTTAGTGCAGGGATGGCCAATCAATCCTGCCAGCGTGCCATACGAGCCTGCCAATCAGGTTGGCAAGTGTAGGATAAGACATGTCGATCAAACATGTGCCGTAAACGCATGGGAGGTTCCCCTTGGTCTGCGGAATCCTGTAGGATGCCGGCGGCTGCAACTCTCAAGTAAGGGTTGTTATATAGAGCTAGGGATTGTGTTCCTTGTAAAGTCTTGTTTGCTGACTCACTTGCCTACCATTCAAGCGCATAAACTTGATCTTGCAGATAGGAGATTAATCCAGGGTTAGAGACCACAGCGGCGATAGGATCTAGACTGCCATATTTACGATTGGGCTTCAAATACCGATTTCCGACAAGCCTCCAAGCACACTGCAGCGTTAGCTTTGAATAACGTCCTATAAACGATTTGTACTATTCAAGCATTATAAGTGGATGTGTACACTACTGGGCCACGGGGATTTCCAGGATGCATCATGAAAGCCTCTGTGGCGTTGGTAATGTTGTCGTGCTCCATCTAATCATGGTGAACAGAAAGCTTGACTTCAAGGGAAGGGGGAGGAAGCAGCTTCGTCAAGCCATGCTAGTTAGTGATATCTAGCATCAGGTTAAGCATATTGCAAGTGTTTCCAATCTTGCCAGTTGGGACAGTTTTCTTAAGACACTGATGTTTTTTCATCGACAGCCTGCATGCCGACTACAAATCCCCCTAGGCACGGAATCTAGTCATATTTTCTAAGCATATAACGCTGGAAACTTTCGCTACGCCACCTGAAACATCCCCCCTTACTGCGGCACATTATTCACCAGCCCAAAGGCGGCATTGACATCGTGCTCATGAATCCAAGCCGTGTCCTCACGACCGTTCACCCACTCCAGAATCTGTTCCTCAGAAAGATGCTTCCCATAGATAGACTTTGCTTTGCCCGTTCGGGCCAAGAAAACGCCCAAACGGTCGGCGTGTGGCTTTCGCACCCTCTGAAACAGATTCAAGGCGTTCTCCAAGTCAGTACCTTTAGTTTCGGAACCTAGTTGAATTCTCTCAAGCGTCATATATAGGGCCAGTGCATCATCAATGGCCATACCAGCTCCGAAACCGGCATGGCCTATTGGATGCGCTGCATCACCGGTCAGAACAATTCGACTGTTGAAGACCCATTGCCGCGCTATGCTTCCAGAATGGCCGGGATAAGACCGAACTGATGGAGCAGTCTCGATCAGTGCCCTTACAGTAGGGGTCCAATCCTATTTATTCTCAGCCTAGACTCGGACAGTGGGGGTTCCCGTCTTACTGACCTTGTATAGATTCATGAATTTTTGTCGGTGGTCTTCACTGGCAGAATTCCACTGCTCGTTGTCTGTTGTCTGCGTAGCTGCGTAGCCGCCAACAACGGCAATCAAATTTCTTCCTATTTCACATGAAACTCTAAGTCAAAATTGGTAACTACCTTGATATTGGATAGAATTGCATCATACCGAGAGGCGTCGTAAAGAACGTACGATCTCCACGAGCATTAGTTAGCACTCCAAAAGCTAAAAGACACTTTCCAACTGAGTGAATCTTACCAGGGCCAACGTAATGGAGAGCTTCTGTGGGTATCTCCACTTCTTGACTGTCCCGGAATCTTTCCAGTAAAGACACGTCGTAAACAGCACGAAATGAAGTCCACCCTGTTAAGAAATTCTTGTGATCCGGCAACAGTTGTTGGCGGATGGCCTAGAGGGGGTCTCAGTTACGACTTGATAGCATGGATAGAAACAAAATGTAGCTGCTCCCCTGGAAGGGCTAGCATCATATATAAAAAAACCTACCGAATGAATGCCATCCGAAACAATGACCAAGTCCTGTGTGACAGAACTGCCGTCTTCAAAATTTATAGTAACACTGTTATGGTTTGGTTCTAAACCAACACTTCGCTTCTTTAGGTGGAGAACAGTTTTGGGGACAGCGTCCAAAAGAACCTTTTGAAGATGTGCCCGGTGGAAGCGTGCGGTGTGATGTAGCCGGTTGGGAACATCCTGGTGTGTATCATAGCCCAAAACTGCGTTGGTCTTCCAGTGTCTGCATCGTCGGTCAGTTCCTAATGCTATCAAGCGTTGCTTATAACCTGTGCCAACCTGTATATCATGGGCCACGTCGAGTGGTTTCGGATACCAACACTGTCATTCAATGCAGCGTGAACGCCGAGCCTTTGAAGGCCCCGCAACCCGTTCGGACCAAGTCCGATAGAGGCACCAATCTCCTTCAACTCCTGGGCTTGTTCATATATATTGATTTGAACATTATCAAGTTCACTCAGAGCAATATAGTTTGTTAGCCCTGAGATGCCGGCGCCGATGATCCCTATTCGTAGAGGCTGCGTTGAGGATGGGTGGGACATCTTTATAATGTAAACCTGTATTGATACTACATTGAACGTAGGTGGTACTTAGCTTATGGAAACTATCCTTGTAAAACGTATTTATTAGGAGCTCGGTTGATTCTCGGTGTACAAAAATAATTTAGAAGCACGAGCTCAAGGGGATATCAACTCATGACCCAGTTCCCTGCAGCAGGGGAAGCGACGTCGGAGCAAGATAGCTGATGATGCCATCTAGCCATGACATTACGAGTTTAGCGGGCCTGTGCTAGAATTATAGTATGCCGTTCATTGCGCAATCAAACACCAAACATTAACCTTGCAGTTGGGTCCACGGATTACTCCTTGTGACTAGGTATCGGCGTCAAGCAGGGTTGTTAGGCTATCTCAACGGCAACGTTGTCGCCGCCACCAGATAACAGCCGAGGGTATGCCACCAGGCTACATCTTATTATCCAACTGGCTGATATCGCCTTTGGCCAAACAAGGAATTGAGAGTCCAGTTGTGTGATTTGGCAGTCATAGTACTTCATGGAACAATAACTGTTAGGCCCAAGGTTGTGAGCAACACCCCGCGAACCGCTCCACCTGGCCATTTCCATCTAAAGGCTCTGTATTACACAACTAAAAGTTCCTCTGATGAGTCATGCTGAGATTTGCACTCCCTCTATAGGGACCAATCTTACATTCTAGCCCTGGCTTCGAACCTGAATCACGCTCTTGTCCTTGGCCGCGGAATCGCCAAGAACACCATTCCCTGCTGTCACGTCTTCAGTTACGTCTGATTCTTCACTACCTCCAGATGTGCCCTCGCTAGTCGACAACGAATTGACAGCAGCTGCACGATTCATTCTTCGCTGAACAAGTATGCACAATCCGATACAGACTAGATATAGAACAGAAACGCAAACAGACTAAATAACGGTCAGTAAAAGCTACTACAAGTCAAAATAACAGAAGGAAATGCTTACCCAGATGTAGCCCCCCCTGAACTTCGGTCCGTGTGATACAGGCCAAGCAACCAGTGGGACAACCAAACTACAAACCTCTCCCAACGTATTTCTCACAGCAAATACGATGGCACGAGCTTCCGCATCCTCAGAGAAAACATCCGCAATCCAAGTTGAGACAACTGGAAAGCCGCCAACGCCTGCTCCAAGGGCGAGGTAGGCAAAGAAGTGAAGCCCGTACGGTACGTCCCAAACTGTGAGAACAACGTTGGAGAAGATGAGCAGAATGGCAAAAAGAAGTGCAGGCTGATACCTCTTCTGGCGTAGATCAATCCAAAAGGCCACAATAATGGCAGACACGACCGTGACAGCTGAAGAGACAGTGCCCAGGTTATTGACCATTGCAGTGTCGTACCTCTCTGGCTGAGATTTGAGCCAGAGGATGAAGGGAAGACCTGCACCGTAAATACTGTTTGACAGAGACAAGCCAAGCAGAACGAAGGCGTACATTCTCCAGTTCTTGAAGAGTCGCTTCCAAATGCTGCGATTCAAGCCAATGCGTTTCTGAAATCCGTCGGCCTGGATACGTGTCCGTGCCAGCTCCTTTTCTACGTCGGTGAGCCATCGGGTTGTCGTACGTTCCGGAACGTCAGGGAAGAAAATGAATCCGCTATATCGTGTCAAAGCAACGTATGGGAGAGAGGGACTTAAAATACTAACACGAAGGCAATTGGGATTGTGATGACCGTGCAAATGATAAACAGCCATCTGTACATGTTAGCACATATATCAAGCGAGCTGTGTGCTGTGAGGCAATACCTCCAGCCTTGCAGCCCATTCACATTGTGAAGGTTTGTATATGCTGCAGCTTGCAAATATCCTGCAAACATTGTGCCTAGGGGGTTCGCACAGAAGTATATGGCGTTTCGCTTTCCAAGCTCATTCTTCTTGTACTATAATTAAGACGTGTCAGATGGAGTACAGGATTCGGGAGCAATGAGAGCCTTCAGAGAATGATCTTGGAGGAACTTCATAGGCACAGGTATATTGTAACTTGCTGGCATACCCATCTTCACTGAACGTTAGCCAATTGTAAATCTCATCAGTTTACATTATTAGAATACTCACGAATTGATGACGTGCAAACAACCGATATAGGTCGATGTGGCACTTAATCCCACAAAGAATCGCATTACAGCCAGTTGCTTGTAGTCAGTCACAAACGCTGTCCCAAGTGTAAAGAGTCCCCAAAAGATTTCTGCGCCAGGGAGGTAGTAGTGTGCACTACACCATGTCAACATAATATTCACCTGAGTTTCGTAGGATTTACTCACGGAATGCGAGTGAGGATAATGTTACTCGGAATCTGAAACACCGTATACCCGACCTCGTCTGTTGGACGTGCGGATATTAGTAGATTGTGCATTTTTTCCACTACTCTCAACACTACTCACAGGCCGCGTTGATGTAGTTCAACTGGTCTCCAGTTAGGTGAAGATCCTCTTTCATGCCGGACACGTACGCATTGTCTTGGTCCTGTCAGCTTGCGCAACTCCTTTGATACTCCAAATCTGCACTTACTTAATGCCGACACGTCGAGGTACTTGGTGAAAAAGGCCAAACAGGCATAGACCAGGACCAGCAAATCAATCTTTTGCACGAGCCTTCTCTCCTCTAACGGCATCCCTTTGGGGTACCATTTGATGATCTCTGCGAACCGAGAAGTAATAGACATGACTGCTGCAAAAGATGTATAGAGGAAACCGAATGCAAGAGGAAAGCCTTTGGTCAATGTTGACCCTTTGGTGGAAAGTATGACTTTTCATCATGTCTTCTAATCACGCAACGATTATTTGAGCAGGCTTGTGGTGAAATTGGAATAATGTCCCCATATCTGATGGCATCAAAATAGTCAGTAATTCGCCATAGCCCTTGACTTGGTAATTACCTCAGTCTTTATGGTTGCGGTGGAGTTTGACTGGGGTCACTACGTGAGAAAAAAGGAAGTCACCGGGGTCTGAGGTCTCATCTGATATTGATTCCCACGATCGTTGACCGTTCCCTCCATCCGAGGCAAGGCCACTGTACTAAATGCTCCTGGCACCTTTTCCCACGTGCACATGTATCCAGATGCCCGACGACTGGAGAACCATCATTGGACGTTCTGTCTCCATCCATTTCGTGAAATATATGATGGAATCAGATAATTCGGGCTTTCACCTCCGCTCTGGACATCGTATTACAAATAGCAAGTCTACCAATCTCCGTCCTGGCACCCTTATCGTGAATAGAGCAATGGGAAGTCACATGCGGGAATACCGGGGAATACCAAAGACGGGGACTTACAACGTAGTGGGTTTAGCTTCTTCACGCTAACTCGGGCCATATCCCTCCGGTTGGAACCAGATGAAGCAGCGCACTGATTGTGCCATATCTGTATCGATGGTACCATGATTCGGAGTTTTAGTTCAAGCGTTATCGGAAGATATATTTACTAGGACAAAGACGCGGTGAAAGACAATAGATATCACAAATTACGGGCTACTTGTCAACCACCTGCTTGTTTACTTACTGTTCTTGCTCTCTAACTCGTTCGAGATATTAACGCCATGGCTCCACCCGCTGCAGATGTCGATACTGGCCTCGCCACTACCATAGTCCCGGTACAAGCGAAGCTTATAACGTCGGGACAGTCAGCCATCCGTGAGCCTTTGAAGTATAGCGGATCCCTGGACGAATATAAGTCCTTTGATGTCACCCCTGCCATTGGAAGGGAGTTTCCAGAGGTTCAGCTTACTGAGATCCTCAAAGACGACACCAAGACCAGAGACCTGGCCATAACTGGTACGTTGATAGGAAGCTTGACTGCGCATAGACAGCACCACGGAAATTATCTAACAAATTTGGTAGTCTCTGAGCGCGGTGTTGTTTTCTTCCGTAGCCAGGATATAACTGTCCCGGATCAGAAGGCCCTTGCTCGTAAACTGGGTGAACTCTCTGGGAATCCAGAAACTTCAAAGGTATGATTTATCTCAGACGTATTGAAAAAGTGAGACACTTGTGTTAATGGGATATTTGTCCACCTTAGCTCCACAAGCACGCCCTTTCTAACAGCAAGAGGGGCATCGCTGTCGATGACAAGGGAACTCTAGACGACGAGATCTCTGTAATCTCATCGGAGGTATATCTCTTACGCGAATTTGTGCGATGAGTGTTGATATTAATCCACCCTGTCTAGCAAACCCGAAAATTCTACAAAGAGAGATTTTCCGGTTTCTCAAAGCAGTTTGCAAGCAAGGAATGGCATTCCGAGTAAGCAGCCATCCTTCCTTTCTTCGTGTCCGGGGCCTGTGGCGGGAACAAGCAGTCAGCTGACATCTGGCAAGTGTTTCTTTTGAGCGAATTCCGTCTGACTATTCAATCTTACGTATTCACACAGTGCCGGACAACGAACCTGGCGGTGACACCCTGTGGGCATCGGGGTACGAGGCCTATGAGCGCTTGTCAACTATTTGGCAAAGGTTTGCCGAGAGTCTGACTGCAACCCATCATCAGGTGTGTTTTGATTAAACATGAACCATGTCTTGTTCAGGAGCTGACCTTTTGAAAGCCTAATGTCTTAGAAGTTGTCAAAAAGCACGGTGTTGAGCTCATCAACGGCGAACGTGGGTCTCCCGAGAATACCGGGCTGGACTTCAAGGCTTCGCAGTGAGTACGGAGAAACATTCGATGCTATATATTCGCTAATCAATAACAGTCCTGTTGTGCGGACGAACCCAGTGACGGGGTAAGTACCGTTACTATTGTGCCACAGTAGCCCTTGCAGTCACTGACTATTCTACAGATGGAAGAGTCTATATGGGCTTGGTGCCCAAGTGGAGAAGGGTTGGATTGACAGTGTGACGGAGCATGAGAGCGAGCTGATTAAAGCTTACTGTGAGTTCTATTCTGCCTCATACCTACCCTTGAATATAATTGACGGAACACAATAGTTTACGACATCATCGCCAAAAACCACGACATTCAGGTTCGCTTCCGATGGAACGCTGGTGACGTTGCTATCTGGGACAAGTGAGTGTTGTTAGACACACCTCGTTTAAATTCATTCGACTAACTGCTCTCAGTCGTTCGACCTTCCACACTCCAACAAAGTAAGGTAGCCCCGCCCCATCTACTTAGGATTGCTCACTGACATATTCCAGCGACTACGAGGGTGTACGCCAAGGCAATCGAGTCGTTTCCATCGGCGAGAAGCCGTACTACGACCCCAACTCAGTATCTCGCCGAGAGGCTCTGAGCGCCCTTGCAAAGAAATGAACTGGGTTCTGAAGTACATAGGATCCCTGAAGCCAATGAGCCGTAATTTATTTCTGTAGCTAGCTGCCATCGTCCCTGAGCCCGTGAACCATGAACCACTGCTCTATGTGAATGATACTAGCAATGTAACCCAACTGACCAGCACTAAAGGAGAAGAATAGACCAACGGTTGGTATTGGGATTATTGACGAAATTGCTGAAATTTGACTGGAAATTCGGTTCGCCCGTTGCTTTGGCACTTTCCTGCTTCTTCAGTCTCTACCCCCTTGTCGAGCCACTTATCACCTAATAGAGGTTTTGCTCAAGGGGCTACTTAGCCTGCCAAGCTGTGGCTAGAAGCTCCTCTACCGTTGTTAAATGAAGATCCGGAAAGAGTTTGTCAACCCTGCAGTTGTCATGTGGAAGAATACCAGCACCACTTATCATCATGAGAGAGAACCCTACTAGTAGAGGCATGAACTCGCTCTCCGGGATGCCTTCTGGATGCCATACAAGGCTAGCTTCTCCCTTTGCTAGTTTTTCAACCGTATCATACATCACGTCAATTTTAGAGCCTAGGTAGGTGCAAATGTTAGATAACCATATTCTAGAGTTAAGGGTACGGAAGAGCAGCATGACATACCCCGGATTTTCTCGGCGCATGCAACTAGTTCATTCATGGAAATATCAGAACCTGATAAGAAGAGGCGCTCAGGCCACTTGTCCGTGTCAAGAAGGCGGACAATGACTCGGGCGAGGTCTTCGCTGTAAGTGACGCTGAATCTATCATCACCAGTACCAGGAATAACCGCTTTTCCTTTCTCCATGTCTAGGAACACACGAAACGGCAGGAGATTGCTTTTAATGTGTGGCATACCCCAGTAATCGGAGAACATGCCGACGGAGATTCGGACGTACTGGAGTTTGCTCTTTTTCAGAGCCAGTGCGTTGGGGATCCACCCACCAATTGCAAGTCCAGACGCTGGGTCGCTGTTGTTTGTGTTGAGCATGTGAGCAAACAGGAAATTTTCATTCGCATGAAGAGTTACATACTTTTCATCCATGAATGATAGGAATTCGCTGGGAATGAAGCGGTGGGTCGTGCAAGACTTATCGGCCGCCTGGATGAGGTTCAGTTGCGACTGGCTTGCAGCTTCAGTCTTCAAATTGACTGTCGATATCACGATGTCGATCTTCCGGTCCTCCAGAATCTCGGTAAGAGAGCTGACATCTTCGTAATCGACTTGGAGAAACTCGGGATAGTCGGCGACAGGTTCGGTTGGAGCCTGTTAGATAAATGAGTAACAATTAAACTGCTCATGAAAGTATCCCATACCTTGCGCCCCATGACAAAGACTTTATGGTGAGGTCCATGGAGTTGTAGCTGCTCGACAATTGTCCTTCCCACTGCTCCTGTTCCTCCAGCGATACCTACAACAACCATGTTGGCGAGTGTCAAATCCGTTGTTGAGGGCGTAAATTGGCTTAATTGTAGCGAGATGACATATGTAAACGTTCAAACAAGAGATTGATTCTACAGCCCATGATGCGTTTACGCTGCGAGGCTTTGGTCATTATATATATCGCGTTCTGGAGTGGATAAACATCGTCCCGCGGAGTTGCTAGGATTCAGTTCGTGGATCAAGTGGACTTGGACTCGTGGAGTTGGTGGACTTCCCAACGCCACCAGAGTGCGTACCTGGTGGAGTTGCTTCGTCCAAACCCGAAACTCGGACTCACGAAGCGACATGCCGTACCAATTCGGCTGTCACCTCTCAGGAGCTACGGACGTTGCAACGGATTAATTATGGGAAGTAGGCCAAGGATAACAGCGCTGGCTGCCATCTCGATTTTGCGGTACTCTTTAAGCTCGTCTAAAAGACAGTCTATAACTCTGTATGCATTTTCTGTTTGGTTCTTATAACCAGCCAGCCAGTCACTGCATGAATCCTGGAGCACCTCCTGGAGCATACCATTCCAACTGGAAAAGAACTGGTCAAACTGCGAGGTTGGCCAGCATTTCGCAGGGCAAATAAGCATTATGGTTGCCACGATGATGGAGCTTGCAGGACTCATGGCTTGTGAGGGCAGTATGACTTTGTCGCTAGAGAAATACACAAAACGAAGTTTCTGTTGAAAGAATATCGAGCATTGGCTTTCAGACAAATAGTACGGATGAAAGCCAAGATGAGCGCTTTAACATCACGCGGACGCATGTGCCTAATATCGATCGACATTTGACTACGACGACAAAAAAAAGAAATTTGCATGATGATATTAAACAACGCGTCCTTGCGCATGTAAGCCCCGACCTGCATAGATCTAACCCTATGTTGCTTTAGCGACCAATCGATTACTTGCTAGGTGATCCAGCTGAAAGTTGCATGCCGTGTTTGGTTCGCCCGTGCCTCTTTTTTTTGAGCCTTGGCAGTAGTCGCCTTGCAGCACACCTCCATCCTGCTTGCTGACTGCTTAACATCCTCCTGTGCTGTGGATGTTTCCTAGAGCAGGCGGTTAAAAGGACACATAAGCTTTTGGCAAAGTGCTTTGTAATAGCGGGAATTTGTGAAGTAACTAAATTCATTGTGTTGAGATGTCGCGTCTGGCATCTTCTAATCCTGGTTTTTACTTTGTACAGGACCTTTCATCCGTAATACTCTTTTTGGGTATGGGGCTCCGCCAATATATGTATCATTCTTTCTCATTCCTAGTAGATTTGGAGTATCGAATCATAGTTGAGTTTAACCGTGCATGAACCGAAATTTGTTCGCAATTATATTGTTTAATTTGAAATATTTTCATCAGTTTGCCTGTCTAGGTGTTTCTGTGTGCTTGCTATCTCAACATCACCTGCCCTTATTTGCAGGCTTAGGTATTGGGTCTTTGCGCCAGACTCATGAAGAAGATAAATCCCCAGGTCTGACAATGGACTTCTCCATATTGCCTGATGGCACTGAATCAAAAATTGCCCGACTCTTAAGTGAAGTACCTAAATTGGGGGTGCTTATCTCCCAATGTTGTCACATCAATCTGTTCATGGTCTTCCACGGGGCCAAATTCCCTATCTCGCTTGCGATTCTCGTGAGCAAGTTTGAAGTGTAGGCCGAGAGACAGGATAGTAATCATAAACGTCAAGGCACAGCCTGTTGCACAGCCTTTGACAAAGTAAGGGCTAAAGATTCAGTTAGGTCTTGATGTTGCGCAATTGCAAAATGATACACTCACGCGTCTGACTTCGGATACAAAGTGCTGCTCACAAAGGAGCTGCACTGGCCAAGAATGGCAATAACGGCCAAGCCCACACCTCGTTTTGTTTCACCTCCTTGGTTGTTGAGCACCCAGGTAAGGTTGAGTGCCAGGCAGGGGAACACTCCTATGACTGCAAGCCAGACCCCAAGATACCGGATGTTGCTCCTTGCTTGATCCTCTATTATAGCGAGTAATAGGTATCCTACTCCAGCGACGGTAGGTAAACCGGCAATCACGTAACCCCTGTGCCCGAATTTGTCGGAGAAGAAAGCCGCGGCATTGTCTCCGCCATCAAACCAGCCCATGGAGCATCAAAATCCCCAAAACACAACTAGCTCTTTTCCTCAAGGTCGGTTCTATAAGGCCTGTTCCGCTTGCCAATCTCGGAAGGTTCGATGCATAATTGAGGATAGATCCAGCGGATCAGACTGTAAACAATGTCGAAAGTAAGGAGCTACAAGACCGAGCCGGTTCCAGGAGAAACTTTTACTAATCCTGGACTAGGGATAGAATTCCGTGTATTTTTGAGATCAAGGACAGGGTTTATAACTCAAGCAACCGTTTGAAAAAATGTAAACGCAAGCGATCAAAGAACACAGACGACACCCCACTTGAATCCGGTAGCCCAGCTTCGAGATCTGCGGTAAATCCTATTCAAGTTAGTAAAAAGAACACGAAAGAGACGAATTCTGGTGTTCGAAGTTCAGCAGATGCCCTCTTAGTCTTGTCGGATGTAGCTGCGAGACATCAGGATGTGGCCATTTCGTCAAATGGATTAGATCACACAACTCAAACCGAAGGCATCTATTCTCACCCAACGTCTTCGATCGATGAGACTTTTAGTGATCCGTTCAACTCTCCTTGGATGAGCGAAAGCTTTCAGAACGAGGTCTCTACGTTTGGTTGTCGCCTGTTTTGGGAAAACCATGTTCTCCCACATGAGGCCCTGATCTATCTGCGCTTTTCTTCTTAAAGCTCTATCCTTTCTTCCCATTTATTCCCGACGTATACTACCTTTGCATGACCAGTTCCAAGCCCGACTTACAGATCATTAGAACCCTCTTTGAAGATGATCATATCCTTCTAGGGTGTATTATTACAGTGTCCAGCCGTTACTATCATCTCCCCAAGAACGCAATTGGTGGATTTGAGAGAAGTTGTGAGATCCACAGCAGGTGTTGGGACTGGGTCAAAAAAGAGATATCTAAAGTCATCTTTGAAGGGAATCGTCCCAAGGCCATACTATCTGTTATTGAGTCTCTCCTTATGCTGGCAGAATGGATGCCAAGATCTATTCACGCCAGTGTCGATATTCCTGATCAGCGCCATCGTGGTAGAGACAATCAAATGTCACAGTCCACTCGATTCATGAGCAAACAGCTATTGCAACCAGCTTTCCGAACAGATCACGTTGCTTGGTAACTCCTTTCTTTGACTGTTTTTTTTTTTTTTTTTCCTTTTAAGATTCTGATTAGTTATAAAATAGGTCTTACGTTGGAAATGCATTTCTCCTCCTACGTTCACTCTCACAAGACAAACGGTATTGTCCTATCATCAAGAGCGCAAATAGATACTACATCACGTTGTTCAGTTGCCTCATCATGTCTCAATCCCTAGCCCGCCGCCTCGCAAGACGACCTCTGATGAGATTTGATGAAGTAGTCATGCCTCAAATATCAGAAGCTTTCAACAAGCGCAATATGCGACTGGCGGATGAGAGGATGGGTCCAAATCAGGCCCGAGAATTAAGCCTCGGGATATCTAACGATTTTCACGAAGCGTTTGTTGAGTTAATGAAACTTCTCGCCCAAGCTCAGGAGGTCCTTCATGCCTCGGCAACAGATGACACCAACAGTGCCAAGGCACAAGCGCCAAAAGCCACAGCGCAACTCGTGACTCTGCTCCAGTATTTCGATAATTTGAGACGCGATTGGAAAGCAAAATATTCCAGATTATTCGATAGTAAGGTCCTGAACATTTCAAGTTCCCAAACAAGATACTAAACCACGGAATTTGCAGCGGCGGCTCCAGGCATGTCAACCTTCTCACAACAGATGTTGAAGGCAGACTACGAGTATCTGAGGCTTTATCAGTTTTCCCCAAGCCTTGGAGCTTGCTTGAGAGACCGAATGTATACTGTCGCTGGCGCGAAAGATCTCTCCATAATTTCTGACAATACGAATCACAACAAATGGGAGTTTCCATCTTCGTCCCCAGCCTACTATTTGGAGCAGGCTCTTGATGCCGCGAATATTCTACTTCGCCTCTTACTCGACTTTCAACTCCTATCCACTCACGCAACATTGCTCTACGCCAGCTCGAGATATTATATGAAAATTGTATTTGCAGCAGTATTCATCATGCAAGTAGGTTGAAATAAAGAAAACCGGCACTCCACATTGATCCATGTTACTCTTCTTATCAAATAACAGGTTTTGAGGTCAGGGATACCGAACCAGGATTATCAAAAGCGGTTGAAGTCTACGTTAAGGGAGACAATTTCAACACTTAGAACTTGTAGCATCGACTCTGCTCACCCCGCATTCCGCTACTCGATTCTTCTACGATGTTTACTGTCAGACACCGAGAAGAAAGCGCCGCCGGTAGCCTCTTCTCCGTTTTCTTTGACCATCGGGCTCAGAGACACCCAACATCAAGCTCGAAACAGAGTTGACAATGGCGCCAGCGAGCTGGGATCCCAGCCTTCCCAAGTGGACATAGCTGGAGAGGAAGGGTATTTAAACAGCAGCATTCGGAGTATTGAGTTAAGCTAACCATCAGTAGACCACCTAAAGCCAGCGCAACCGGCGCGTTTTCCACGGAGGCTTGGGGGACACAGAGTTCGTCCCCCTTTGTTGATTTAAATGAAGGTGGCAGTCTAGCTCCCGATTGTTTCCCGTCCCATGATGGAGATCACTTCAATATGAGCTGGGAAAGTTCTCTGGAGCTTTTCGATGGTGACATGTTCCTACAGTCACTTATAGGCAGGTAAAATCCTTTAACTTTGGTCTTGATATGATAACAGCCTTATTCAAGTAATTTGTTGATAATCAAAAGTTTCTTTTATTGCTAATCCTTTTCTTAGAAACCCGATTTTTCAGTGGCTAGAATCCGAATCCATGGATGCTGGAAATGGTTAAAGAACTTCACCCATAATCAGTAACGGCCAACTGTACACTATGGAGAATTTGGACCGTTACGGGGTGGGCCACATGCTGGTAAATAGATAACAGTGCATGCGCAGTTATTCAGCTGCACAAGGTCCGGGATCATGTCCACTCCAACTTCTCGGCCAGAGATTTTAATCATGCACATCTTTTGGAGGCAATGCCTTTAGGGTAGATATCAATGTGCTAGAATGGAGCAATATATCAAAAATCATACCAATCAGTGAAACAGACTAAAGTAGCGGGAACGTTGAGCGACCAATTAAACCTTTCAAGTACCCTGGAATTTTCGAAAAGACTTCCCTGTCCCCTACCCACCCCCACCTACCGAGCCTGAGTGGGAAACTGATCCGACACTAGCCAGAGCCAGAACCGGCTGTTCGTGTCTGGGCGAGTGGAGGTTCACTGTCGTGGCCGGGGAAAAAATGAACGCAAAGAGGGAGAGAGAGGAGACTGCCCTGGTCCGTCTGGAAGGATTTGACATATTGCTAAACCAAATAAGGACACCGCGGGTGGCAATCGAATGCCTGACCTGCCTGCTTCCCATCTAGCTCTACCAATAGCCTCGATTTCCCAGAATGAAGAAAAAGGCGAGAGTCCCAGAAGGAACCGTCCTGGTCCATCTGTGCGGATTTGACACTTTACCAATACCTTAATTTTAGGGTTAGAGCTTACCAACTAGCGAATGCTTGCTCGCTTAGTCCCACTGTTGATGCCTTGTGATCTGACGAGACAGCACCCATGAAGCCAATGCTCATGCAAATATTCATTAGTCTGTAGCCCAACTAGTGTTTTCGAGTCCGACGCCGTGGCACATCCTTGCAGCCACTCCCGAACTTTACCGCGAAGGCAGCCACTAGTGGACGCCACGTTGACAAGCTGCAGCTGAGGCTTGCATTGAGGCCAACGGTCGAGATTGCGGCGTTGACATGCCTCAGCCGTTCTGTAGAAGTGATTGGCCAAGGAAAGAGGCTAGAACGGCATGGTCAAGGTTCTCTTTCAGCCCTTTGCCGGCGACGCCTAGCACAGTCTCAACTATTGACTCCTGTTCTAAGCACATCACCGAGGCTCCCGGCGGCCAACACCGGCCGTTTGCTATTTGACGCGATACCGGGTGGGCGGTGCTTCAATAGTACACGAATTTGCCCAAGGTAGGACCCCGGAATGTGGTTCTAGACTGTTGTGTTTTTAGGCCATTCAATCTAGTGTTGGTAAGGTGAACATCAGCAATCTCAAAGATAAATGGCAGGCACGAGCCCTTCAGCTTGGCTTTTGGTCTTGTCCCTATTAACTCTTGCTGGAGATCCGCCATTTACTCTCCTTGAGGTCGAGTTTATTACTCTAGTTTCACTCCGCAATTTCTGTATCGTTGTGCTCTATGGCTAGACCTTGAAAGGCTATACATCGCTCGTTCAGCAACCCAGGCACGTGCTCATTCGTCAAATGATCATGCGGAACACCATTCTCTGGCTCCTTGGGGCCTCGGTGGTTCTAGCTGACTACCCTCGTATGCCGAGAAACGTTGGCCTGTCAGGAAACGGAACAGCCGTCTTCAACGCATCCTCAAGCGCTGTTCCGTCGAGTCTCTCCTCGACTAAGACGACTCCTTCAACGCTTACACCGTCTTCTCTTACAACTCGCTCCACATCAGACACTGCTGCATCAAACACGGCTGTACCGTCCCACACATCTTCTGAATATCAGTTCCCTTCCGATAAGCTCGGGCCTATCGCCACGCTCCAGCCATCACTCCCCGATTATCACAACGTGTACGACGTGGAGCACCTCAGTCCCCATGACAAGGGGACCGGCGCACCTCTCCACTATGTACAACCTTCCTCGGAAAGTAAGTGTGCCCAAACCATATCGTTATATCATTCAAACTAGAATTTTAACCGATGCCGTTTTGTAATCAACAGATTCTGGCGGGATATTTGCCGTCGCCGTTCCCAGGTGGCTGTACCCGTCTGTGGTTCTCGACCACTCCGGCCTTATCGTCGATGTGAACATGAACCACAACCGAGAGCTCGTTATGATCTTCGCCAACAAGGACGCCTTCGACCACGGCGAAGGCCGTTGGGTTGGCAGCGACATCATCTTCGTCTCTTACACCGAGGACTGCGGCAACTACAAGCTCG